CTGAGAGAGTAAAAAGCTCCGTAGTTGTGTGGGGCTCGGGAGGCGAGGAGGAGGCGGGGTCAAACAGATGCAGCTCAGGGGATTTTTTCGGCCGGGGAACTATTCTGTACGATACTGTAACTGTGCATACATGACACTATGCATTTGTCGAAACCCATAGAACTTTGCAGCACAGAGTAAAGTTCAAACTGAAAAAAAAATTATTTAGGACTGGGAAACCCAAGAACAAAATGCAGAGCGCGAAACAATCTAACCATATTACGAACTGTGAAGCAATTTCACTGCAGGGAGTGAGGGGTCAGGAAATGGACCTAAAGGACTTTGGAAACAGTAAGTAAAACTAAAGGCAAAATAAACTGTCCAGAAGCGCTGATTCGATAGTTATACCCAACTGGGGTGCAGGTGAACAATTCTGATACTGCTGCAATTTACACTGCAATTGAACAGTCAAGTACATAGATGGCAGGCGGTGGAAGCCAGGTCCCTCAGTGCTGGGGCAGGGACTTACAGCAGGAGGAAGCTTCAACGATTCATGGTGATAAATTAGAATTGCAGACAGCAGTATGAACTCATCTCATGTTTAGCTCAATTTAGATAGTTACATATAGAAATATATATATATACACACTATATATGCCATATATATAGTATAAATAACCTTAAATATCCCCACTAATGAATGGATAAATAAAATGTGGTATATCCACACAATAGAGTATTATTCAGCCATAAAAAGGAATGGAGTATTGGAACATGTTACAACATGGATGAACCTCGAAAATATCATACTAAGTGAAAGAAACTAGTCACAAAGGACCACGTTGTATAATTCTATTTATATGAAATGTCCAAAATAGGCAAATTTATAGTGACAGAATGTAGATTCATGGTTGCCAGGGTCTGGGGTGGTGGTGGTGGGGGGGGATTGGAATGACTGCTAATGACTACTGAGTTTCTTTTATGAGGGTGATTAAAATGTACTGGACACTTTTCAAAAGTGTTTAATTTACTTGATCCCTCTGTAGAAGTCGACTCTGAGCACTCCCCTCGATTTCAAAACGTTCTCTTGACTTCCACGCCACCTTAGCTACTTCTCAAGTCTCCTTTGCAATGGCGGTTCCTCTACCCAGATATTAAATGCTCCCAATGACCCCTGGCCAGTTTGGCTCAGTGGTTAGAGCATCGGCCCTTGGACTGAAGGATCGCGGGTTTAATTCCGGTCAAGGGCACGTATATCGGTCGCAGGCCAGATCCCTGTTCCTGGGCGGGGCACATTTGGGAGGCAACCAGTTGTGTCTCTCTCACATCCATGTTTCTCTCTCTCTCTCTGAAAAAGTAATGGAAAAAATATCCTTTGGTGAGGCTTAAAAAAAAAGTAACTGCTCCCAATTAGACCTTGGTCCTAGGCTCTCTGCTCTTCTTCCTCAGGGATTGCATTCGATCTTAGAGCTTTCAACTGCCATTTTTAAAAATTATGACTCACAAAATTTTGTTTCTAGTCCATCAGCAATCTGGGACTACCAGAAAGAAATTGTTACTAATTCAGGGATCTATTTTACCTGATATAACAAAACCCTTTTTTAAATGGCATCTTTCCATTTAAATGTTTGAGGCTGAACTTTATTATCCAGCCTCTTCTCAAAAAGAGAGCCATCACATCTGAACTCCATGATCCAGTTTGTTCTCCACAGAAGTACCATTGCAAGGTCCACTCACGTCCTAGAAGCTCTTTGGTAAGTCCTGGACCCAGTCATTTCGCCATATGAATCCTGATATCACATTTTATTTTCCAAGAGCTCTTTCTTCTCCTCCAATTGTAGATATTTTTGTTGGGTAGATACAGTACTTTTTTAGCGCCCCTAAAAGTTTTGAAGTTTGTTTTTCCTGTTCCCTATTTTACCTCATCTCTTGGGAGTTGTTTGGCTTTCAGTCCATCTTCCTTGTTGGAGGCTGTTCTCAAAGGTCTGGTGTTCCTGTGTTGTTCTCTTGACATTTTATTTTAATATTTTTATTGATTTCAGAGAGAGAAAGGGAGAGGGAGAGATAGAAAGGGAGAGACAGAAATATCAATGATGAGAGAGAGTCATTGATCGGCCGCATCTCGCACCTCCCTCCTCCCCCCGCCGGGGATCAAGCCCACAACCCGGGCATGTGCCCTGACAGGGAACCGAACTGCGATCTCCTGGATCATAGGTCGATGCTCAACCACTGAGCCACGCTGGCCGGGCTTCTCTTGACGTTTTATAGTGAGATTCAAGCTGATAGAAGCTCTGTGCCTGAGGGAGGGGGTGAATTTTCAACAGGTTGGCTTCGCTGTGGGTGATAGGAAAGAAAAATGGCTCTTCCTTTGGATGCCTTCTCCTAGAGGCAGTTCCATTTGTCTGGAGAAGTATCCTTCAGTTTTCCTCCCGGAGCATGTAAGCCCAATGCCGTTGTTCTGGAAACAAAGTGGGGCTGGAAGGCTTATTGCCTTTGTGTGCTCTCAGGGCACCCTGCCTACCGCAGCACCTAGTACCCACCTAATTTATAATGCATGTTTTCACAGTATGTTGTAAGCCCAAGAAGACAGGGACTACATCTGTCCCAGCCCCCAGAACAATCTGTGGTACATAGTAGGCACTGAGCAATGTTTGCTGAATGAAAAACTGGTAAGAGCTCTGGCAACACTAGAATTTTGTTGAGGATGCAGGAACCCTTCGAAGATCAGAATCCTCCTACCCAGAGCATCTGAGATTCTGCCTGGAATTCGGATCAAGCCACTTCCATTCTCCATAGCCCACAGCTCTAAATGTCAGATCCCTTCTCTCTCAGGACCAGCCTGCTCATGGTGATGACAAAAGCACTGCAGATTAAATGAGCGGAATGCACGTTTCTGCTCGGGGGCGGCCGCGGTGCTTGCTCTCGGCCCTGTGCTTGCTCACTCTAACGGCCATCCAGGCGCTCCTACTGATCCCTGCTGAAACCTCGGTAGACGGCCTGAATAAACAGCTCGCCCTCGGAGGGCGGAATGGGTTTAAATTCTTTTTTAAGTTCCTTTTAGGTGGTGAAGTCTGGTCTGCTAGTCAAGGAGGAGAAAAGCAGTTGCTCTCTGGGGCGACTAACAGACACTAACTGACAACCAGCATTTTGACTGCATGCTTGCCACACTGGGAAGCACGTGAAAAAGGCAGCAGCAGGAAAGAAAGAGCAGGCAGAAGGCTCTCTCCCTATAGGCCTAAGGGCTCTTCATGGGAGGGAGAAATGGAGGGGACAGTGAAGCCCTGCGTATGAGTTAGGCGGGCACAGGCGAGGCTGGTGTAAGGAGACCCACTCCAGCAGGGCTTACAGAGGAGAGCGCTTATTTCCCTGTCCTCCAACAGTCCGGGAGCGAGCAGGCACGCAGGAGGCGTTGCTCTGCGTGGTCTCACACCCGAGACCTACCCTTTGTATTCCTCTGTTCCTTAGCGAGCCATCTTTGACTTCATGGTCATGGCTAGAACACCTACCTCCCCTTTGTAGGAGGTAGAGGGCCCTGTTCTATAAGGAGCGGAGGAAGTTCTTGAAGAGTCTCGGGAGGGTTAAAACAACCCCCCCCCCCAAACCCAAATCTTGAGATACTGAAGGCGGCTTACTTACTCAGGTTTACAGTGAGGGGCATTCCATACTCAAGAAATAACAGGTAGTATTTGCTTCTCAGGGGAGGAAATGACCTACGATTGCTGGGAGTTTGACTCCAGTTTTGAAAATAAGTACTGACAATTTAATAGCATCTCTCGCCTCAATTTTTAAGCAATCTTCCATTTCCTGGAAGAATCAGAAAAAGGGAAAAATATATATAACTTATTTATAATGGTTTGCTAATATAAAGGAATTATACTAATTAAACCAACTATATATTATAAATTATATTGTCATTTTAAATATTATAAATTAAATCAATTATAATTACATTATTTAATTATACTGATTAATTAAATGCTAATTACTATTTATCGGATTCCCTTACACTTTGGGAATAATTTGCAAATACAATGGGCCAGATTCACAATCACTGCCCTGTCTTTAGAGAATTCCTAAAGCAAAGCACTGGTCCAAACATGGCCATTTCTCTTTAATACATTGTTTTGCTTCCAACTAACATACTAATTTCTATTTTTTACCAGGTGCATTTTTTGAAAAGAACCCTCTGAAAAACTTCCAGCAGCTGGATTTGGCGGGAAATTGTGTGAGCAGTGATGGATGGCTTACCTTCATGGGCATATTTGAAAATCTTAAGCAATTAGTGTTTTTTGACTTCAGTACTAAAAGATTTTTGCCTGATGCAGCATTAGTCAGAAAACTTGGCCATGTGTTATCTAAGTTAACTTTCTTGCAAGAAGCTAGGCTTGTTGGGTGGCAATTTGATGATGATGATCTCAGTGTTATTCAAGGTGCTTTTAAACTAGTAACTGCTTAAAGGGCAGCCCGAGCCCATGAATGCTCTGGGGACTCCAGTACTCTCAGCCTGGGGATTTAAAAATCTTTGCTCATATAGTCCAAGGGCCTGAAAGTATATGGCAATCTATTCTCCACCTAAAAATTACCCGTGTCAGCAGTGTCTGCCCAACTCACCCCTCTCAAAGGTTCTCTTCCATTCCTGGTACCAGGATGACGTGTGGTGTGCCACCACCTCTTTAGCTGGCCTCTTGCACGGAAATCTACTTTCTTAGTTTCACCATTCAGGAAAATGAAGGTGCCAGGCAAATGAGACCAAAGGAGAGAGGAGGGGGAGGGAGGTTACTGGTGACCCGGGCGGTACTTCTGTCTCATCCCTCCTGCTGGAATTATCAGCTATTCGAGGGGGACTCACTCTTCCTAGGTTCCCCTGGTCTCAAGAACAGCGGATCACGAGAACCGATGTACTGCACGCACACCGACTTAGTACAGTGCCTGACCTGTACTGGGCTCTCAACAAGTATTTGCTAAATATGAGATAATTAAATTACCAACAAATAGCTACTGAATAAAGAAACAAGCCAAAATTACTTAAAACCACAGAAAACTCCATTTCTGTTCTTTATTAAAAAGTTTAATTCAAACAATTTGGAATGTGAAAAGCATTTTCTTATATAAGCAGTCAGATTCCCCCAAAAGATTGGGATTCTTTAGTCAAGCAAAAAAATTGGCAGTTTACAAGCAGCTAAATGACAGGCTTGAAATTCAGGTCCTCCCCAGTTGCTGATACATGTAATTACAACTGTGACTTCAGAGATGAAGGAAGAAATAAAAATGCACCCCATTCTTTCATACCCTATGGAAGCTAAGGGTACTCTGTCCTAATCTTTTCTCCAACACCCCGCAAAAATAATCTTTTCCCACAAAGAAAGACGACTAAGAAAAATCTGTTTAAACAGATTTAAAGATTTATTCAAGGCAAGTCTGAAATAAACAAAATCCTAATTGGTGTTAGCCTGCAGTCACCTTCTAATCTCATGGCACCTCAAATTAATGGCTTGGGTGTCGGTGTAGGTAACACTTGGCCTGTACATTGAGGTAGTCACTGGAAAGAAATTCTGGGCACAATATTTTGTTTAGCAAGTGGGCATATATTCTATAAATTTAGTCATAAAATTTTAGAGCTGATAGTTTACAGATCCACTAATTCATTCCCCACCCTAACTTTACAGATGAAAAAGCTCAGGGAAGTTAAATTGCCTTGCCCATGGTTACAAAACTACTTACACAGTGGCAGTATCAGGATTGGAATCCAATTCTTGTCTTTCAGTCCAATGTTTTTTCCATCACAAACAGCGATTTCTTAAACAGGGTTAATCACACTCCATGAAGCTTGCTCTTAATCACAAACCATGGGCCAAGTATTTAATTTGAACTTCCTCTTTTTTGTGTCTAGCTTCAAGTAACTCCATGGCAAGATTTAGTAAGGCTACTGTCTAAAGGCCTATGCTGGCCAAGTTTCTTATTTTCATATCCAAAAGCTGGCCAGAGCTTGGCAAATGAGACTTGTTTATATAATAAAGCATGGACAAAAGTCACCCATGGCAGCTGGCATTACTGAATTTCAGCAAGTAGAGCCAAATCCTTCAGAACCCACAGGCAACTTCAAACAGTGTAGGTGGGCATGAAAGCACCTTTGGTGGGACAACTGCACAGGTGTTGCTTCTGAATGGGTGTTGAGGAAGTAGGCATTTAACCTCACACAGAACTGTGCTCAGCACCTGGACACTGAAAATCCCATAGGGATGGAGATGTGCATAGGGTGGCAGCACATACCTCTGAATCATCACTGAGTACATGACAGTTCTTCAGATTTCATGCATGACCCGAATTCACATTTAGATGAGGTCAATGGGGGAATAATCACCCTGTGATAGTAGACCAATAACAGGCATAGTACCAGTTGGAGAACATAAGACGAAGGACAAGAAACAGGTTGACTTATTACAGTTTACAGTTTCATTTTCTCCAGCAGTCAAGGTAGCGTGGCCTCTAATTCTTCAGTAGGTCAAATGAGTTAACAGGGTTGCAGATGTCAAGACAATGACCAACTCCTCACCAGACAAAAGGTATTTGGGACATGGCCATTTATTGTCACAGGGTAACTACAGTTCTGCTTGATAGAGATGGCTTCTTAGATGTTTGTAATTCCACAGTGAAGAAATAGGATTTAGAATTGTTGCTCGTATTTAAAAGAGGATGAATTGATTGAAGAAACTGTTGCAAATTCTACAGAAACAGAAATCTTCTCTAGATAGCTGGGTGATGGCTGGAAAAGTCATGAATCTCCAGCAGTCACTGGACTCCAGAAAAATTGAATCCATTCTTAAAATTCCTTTTTAAAACCCTAACCATAAAACTCATAATATAATGGAAAAAATCTCATAGGTAATTTGTGACTGCTACTTATAAGTAATGCTGGCCAAACTGGAAAGTCCTTAACATTTGCACTTGGAAAATAATTAAAAAATAATCTATATAATTCTCACACTTCATCATGTTAATAATTCACTGTGTTTGACAAAGCAAAACAAAGTAAGTTAGAAACTGCCTGTAAGCAGATCTGAAAATACTGTATTCTATAATATAAGGTCCATAATCTTTTGGTAAAATTATGTAATATAATCTCAAATTGATTATGCAACTTTGAAAAGATATCAAATCACATATTATACCATACATGGAATTCCATATTATTTTGGTAACATATTTGATACGTTTTGTTAATAAAAGAGGAAATTAAAAAGCCAACCAAAGAAAAAGTGACAAAGAAGATAAATTTCATCATTACATATCTGATTGTGTATAAGACAGAAAACTGGGATTCCTTTATTGCACACCACCAAAGGACTTGGAACTCATTAACCAGAATAAAACACTTTGAGAACCATGGACTATTTACAAATGTATTGAAATTTTTAAATGACAAAAACTAGGTAGTAGAATATATTCTAAAATTTTTTCTGATAAAAATTTTTGCTTTTAGTTTGCAAAACATAATTCAGGAGGATCTCAAAGAAAAAAGTAGCAGTTAAGTTTGGAGAAGCTATGGAAAGAGACTTTTACTTTTAGGACAGACCTTCTCCTTTCCTAAAATGAGTATCATTACTCAAGAAGGTTTATAAATTTCACTGAAGAAAATATAATGTGCCAGATCCACTCCATCAAATGGTTTTCTTGTAAAGGTAATCCCGTATCACACTGTGGTCAACTACAAAGCCAAAGATAGCAAAATTCAAATTTAAAGAAATACACTTTCTAAAGGAAGCCTATTTAAAGCCTACAACATCTAGAAGGTTCTCACTATTCTAAATACATTTTACAAAAATATAGTTTCATTGGTTTCATATAATGTGAACTAGCCTACTATTCTCTAACATTTACAACAAATGATTGAACAGTCATTGCAAACTTGGATTACTAAATAAATTGGAAGTCAAGGAGTTAATATTCCTCATAAAATAAATTAAATCACAGTATGTCATGGTCTTGGTTGTCCAACTCTATTGTTAGTTCCATACCTACTTGGTATATTTGTAAAACCAGTCCTGAATCCTTGGGTTGCTCCAATTCTTGGAACTCCAAGTCCTTGATTAACCATGTTGCTATAAGGTATGTGTCCATGATTGAGACCCAAACCGTAAGGTCTTGTTTGTGTGTTTAGAAGAATAACCGGATTCATATTTTTTCCAGGGGTGTTAAACGAAAATTCTGGAGGTGGACTACTGGGTTTAGTTGGAGTTGATGTGACAGGGTTCGACTCATCAATGCCCTTTAAAGGAGGCATTGGGATTATGTGATGATCTGAAAAATTTAGGACATTAGCTGCAACAGGCCCAGATGGTAAGACAGGCCTCATCCAGTCATCCTTGAAAATTTGAACAGTCAGAGTAGACACTAGAGTGTACAGCCTGTTGGTCACATGAGCAAGAACCATTTGTTCATTTGCATCTCGTCGGATTCTTACATGCACTGATCCAGCCTAAAAGGGGCAAAATCATAAGAAAGAGACTGCTTAGAATTACACTACTGAAAAATCCCACTGGAAATGAACAGTTTACTTATGAGTTTGTTGTAACAATACTTGGTATTTTCTTTAATACAAGAGAAAGTTTAATGTCTTGATATTCCTTAAAGACTACTTAGTAGTGATTATCAAGGTAAAGAGCTAATGAAATAATGTGTGACTCTTTAAATAAAACATGATCTTTTAAAATATCCATATATATAAAGGAAGATAACTCCAGGTAGGTGAAGACAGGCATGTTATAACATAAGGCAGAATATAAATGAAGTATATAAAAAATGCAATAGAAAGGCAGAAAAGAGAGATATTAATTCAAATTGAGGAAGACTTCAAGAAAATATGACATTTGATGATCTAGGGTTGATGGTTAAATGAAATTTCAAAAGGTGGAGACAGGCTTAGGAAATAGCAATTAAAATGCATGGCATGTTTAAGCAAGATTAAGCAATATCACTAATATATCAAGAAGTACAAATATTTCAGGAGGCAGAAAAAGAATAAAAGAGAGAAAACAAAGGAAGACAGGAGGAAAAAAGGAAACAAAGAGTGAACAGAAAGGAGGAGGGCAGACAATGGGGTGAAAAAGGAGCTAGAAGAGGCATCTAAATAGCATCATAATAAGTTTTAATAGTGACAATAAAACAGCAATAAAGTAATAAGAATTCAGAAAAATACAGGTATGGATGATTGCCAATTATGTAGGGAATGGCTGCAACTGTCCAGGTTAAAAATGAAGAGGTCTAAGACAGGACAAACACAGTGGGATCAGAGAGGGATGGATGGATTCATGATATTCCATGGGTTAGTGGAGGACTTGATACCCAACTGGATGTAATCGATGAAGAAGATGGGCTCATCAAAGACAATTCAAGGCTTCTAGCTTAGGTTACTAGGACAGAGAGCACCAGGCATTACAATGAGGGTTAGTGAAGAGATTAGCCAAAGAACATACATGCTTCTGTGTGGCCAGGGCTGTCAGTGTGTCAGTGGCTTGAGCATCCCCCCACCCCTCACCCACCTACTTGGGCTCCACCTGGACCTAATGCACCACTTACTCTCAGGAGAGGCACAGGTTTAATAAGGGAGAGGACGGCCACCACTCAAATGGGGGTTCTGAGTGCCCCAGCTCACTAAGCACTGGGACACACTACTACTGAGTCCTCCACTGACTCCTATTCACAAGAAATAGGCCCCAGGGCCTCTTGGCCTTGAGGCTGCCTAAGGACAGATACATGCAGCTCAGGATGATCTCAGACAAGAAGGGGTCTTTGGGTGTCCAGCCATTCCAGGTGGACTGTGTGGTGTAGATCAAATGAGGTGATGTGGGTACATCTGTTCAGGCCCACCTCAGGACTTGAGCTGGTACAGGGACCACCATCCCCCACCTCTTTTCAGAGAAAATTTATTTCTGGAGGCTGGGAAGCCCAAGATCAGAGTGGTTGAAGATCAGCATGGTTGGATGAGGTCTCTCTTGCAGTTAGTTCTCAGATTTCTAATTGTATCCTCATATGATAGAAAGCCTAAAAACTAATCTTAAGGAATAGTCATGAGTATATACAAAGATTACACCGATCAATCTCAGCCAGTTTACATGGTAATAATGAAAAACAACTAGTCCAACAGAGGAATGATTAAATAAATTATGGCATATAATGAAAAACTCTGTAAAACATTAAAAATTATGTTGGTATTCTTGGAAGACAGCAACAGTAGTGGCACTTTTTTGAAATGTCCTAAATATCCCCATAAAAACAGAGAAATTAAGACAGCAAATCCAAAAACCTATGTGCAACATCTACAAAACACTAGCTTACATGGTTCTACTAAGAAACCTCAAATACAAGGTATACACCTGCAAGGTATCCGTTTCTGTGGAGGAGGAAGCAGCTGGGCATCTGACTGACCTAAAAACTCCAAGCAGTAAATCGGTACTTAATGGGAATCTAGGACAGTGAATTTGAGAAAGGCAGCTAGGTCTGCAATAAGATATGAAGAGCTGGACTAGTCTGAACCCTAGAACTCTCAAAAGTAACCAAGCAAAACCCACATTAAGAAGAAGCTGGGAACAGAACCCCATTGAGCGGCACAGGAGAGACAAAGGATAAAGAAGGTTCAGACACAGATGGAAGAGGAGCGGAGCCAGGGGCAGAAACAACTCTCACTTCACAGGCTCACCAGATGGAGGAACTCCAGAGCCATGAATTCACACATTCTACCTAGGACACACCTTAGTTTTTAGTTCAGGAAAACTAATTTCAGATAAAAAGGAGCCATACAAAAGGACTGAATCCAAATCCCACACAAAGTTATTATAAAAAAAAAAGAAATACAGAACAGATTAGAAGATCACCAGAAAGATTTACCTACAAAACTGATGAGAACTATACCTCACTTTATCAAACTGAGCCAAAAAACATGAAGCAAGAACAATATAAATCAAAACCAGAAAACCTCAGAAATGAGATGGTAATTAGATATAATATAATGAAAAAAATCACTTCAGAAATGAAGGCTAAACTGGAAAGAGTACAAAAGCAAGTAAACATACAAGTATATGAGAAATGAAAGGTGAAAAGAAGGAAAGTTCCAAACCTCAAAAGGAAATGCAGACAAAACACACACACAAAAAGGCAAAAATCCAACATGATTATAATAGAAGTTCCCCAAGAAAAAAATCAAAGCAAGAGACCAGAATAAATATTAAGAATTACAATTAAAGAAAACTTTCCTGAATGTTTAAAAAATTTGTTTTTGAAATAACATTACTGAAAGGTATACTCATACCTGAAATAACTGACCCAGAATGACCAACACCAAGACATTCTAGTAAAATTACTAGACTTAAAAAAAATTTTGCGCATTCAGGCAAAATGATCAAGTCACATATAAAGGGAAAAAAAATCTAAAACCAGAGTATGAGTCATCAGGCTTTTATTATTACGGCAATGCTTTATGCCAGAGGTAAATGGAGTGTACATTTAAGAAACTCAAGGAAACAAAACATGTGCTCAGGATTTCATATCCAGCCAAAATGATTTCCAAGTAAAATGTCCATGACTTTTTCCAAGATTCAGGAATTTAGGGAATGTTGTTCCCCAGGGCCCTTCCTGAAGAATTTACTAGAGGATGAGTTTTAGACACCCAAAGTGACTAGAGGGGAATGCAGGGGAAGGTAGAGACAAGGCAGCCATTTTTCCACTGAAAGAGCATAAACCTGAAACTAAAAACTGCCATGTGGATGCTACCATTGAGCTGCAAGACCAGCTTTCAACTGCCTACCTCTGGAATTTGTGTTATGTTAGAAAAATCAAATCCTATTTGATGTTTTTTAGTTAGAAGAGTAATATTTAGTGATATGAAAACATGTTCATGGTATGTTAAATGAAAACAGCAAATTATAAAATAGCATGATCTCATTTTCTATGGAGAATAAATGTGTAAATATAAATACAAAAATATCAAAAGCAATTTTCTCTACATGAGATGATTTTCGGTGATTTAATTTTTTTCTGGGTACTTTTCTTAACTTCCTCATCATTCCTGATGCAGAAATTTGAAAGCATGCCATAATAAAGTCTCTCTGGTAACAAGGTCCACATTGGATTAGAAAACATGGAATTTTATGTTGCAAGTTGTGTTATTATAACTCTTTAACATATTCACAAAATCTCCAAAATTAGAACTGCAATTAAAAAGAAAATAACTGCACCTTTTACTTTTGCAACATTTTCATACTTAGGAATGTGTGACTATGAATTTGTCTTCTCTGGACAGTTCAGTATTAAAATGATTTGGTTTGAAAGAAAAAAAACATCCCTCCATCAATCTCAACTAGGTTTCTGAATCCATCTACATTTTAGACTCTATTCAACAAAAATGGAAATTGAAGGCTCTATAAAATTTTTAAAGAAATATTTTTTTCAGTTTTGAAAATTATAAAGTATGCTATAAACTATAACTTAATATGTAGAAAACATACCAATGAGCCAAAACCTAGGGTCCAAAAATGCTCATTTCGTACTTCCAAAACTCCATCCAAGGTAGATACCTGATCGAACACACAGAAACAGGGTTGTTTGCACTTGACAAATCCAACATGGTTCAGTCACACTGTGGGCTTGCTCTTAGCCTAGAAATGACTCGGCCAAATCCTGCACGAGGGCACTCATTAGCTGAGAGAAGTCTAGACCACGCACTTAAGATACCATTACTGCATGTTCAGCAGAGCCAAGGTCTTATTTCCCCAGTTTCTTGTCTGCACCAATCCTTCTAGAGTCAGGTTTTTACACCCCCACCCCCACCCCCACCTTATTCAAGAGTGTGTGGTTCTTTTCTTTTTATCAATATGGCATATATTTATATCCAGCACTTATGCTATCAGTTTTTTTTCTTCTCTATCATCTCTTTCTCTGGATTCCCTTTTAACAAATGTCTGTACAATAGACAATGTTATTTGAATGTGGGCCAAAAGGAAATAGTGTGTGGCCCATTGGTGCAGTGGCAAAGGCTCTACCAGCTGAGACAAGTAGCCAGCTATATTGATAAAAGTGGCCTTTGTGATATTGACAACCAATAGTTTAAAATACTCTCTACATCCAAATAATTCGGTTATCTTGCTCCTTCATTAGTTAACAGGTAGAAATTTATAACAATACAAAATCTAAACCCACAAATCTAGATGTTAGATGGTGAAGCAAACAACAGATAAAAATGAGCTTTGACTTAATCAAACCCTTAGGTTTGAATACAGAATCATAAAAGTCACAGCACTTATATAGGTAGGAAGGTGGTCTTTGTACCATTACCTTCCACATTTATTTCAAGTGAATTTGGCTTCCAGACTGAGCAATTCTTCAGTCTTTCTACTTTTGCCACTATGTTATGTCTCCTAATGAGTTAAAAACACAAACTCCCCTAAAATTCTAGATAGGGTTGGGTTAAATAAAGTATTATTTGTACCTACTCTTTGTATTCTTAAATTATAAATTTAAATGATTTTATTATTCCCCCTTACCTCTCTGATAAGTTTGTCCAACTGACCAATAACATGGGGTGGTGTTGTCTGGGGAAAAAATAAAACATGCATCAGGGAGATAAAAATTTTTTGCAACAATGGTCCAGAAACTTCGTTTGACATATGCCCTATCATGATTTAGGAAAGAGAGGTTTCAAGTGGCCCCAGTAGTGGGGCAACATCAAAAATCAGCTCATGCTCACTTTTTATCTTACAAAGAAGCTGCTATCTTTAGAACCAAATAAGCCTTTAAAGAACCAACCAATCAACAAAAAATCTTTAAGAAAGTAACATTTTGTATAGAGCATAGCACTTTATAAATAATAATTATCATATTGTTATTACTGATCCTGGAGATGAAGATATTATTAGTTTAAGACAAGGCGTGAGGTACAGACAGAAAGAAAAACAGTGCTTACATACATACACACCCAGTCCTGAGAAACTCTCTCTTCATTCAGGTACTTGTCTATAGGTGTTCCCCTTGTTTTAATAAGTAATAATTTGTTTTTTTCCCCCCCTTCTTAATGAAGCAAGATTAGCACAACTTATTAGAACTTGACCCAAAAGACTGTCCTGTATTACGTTGAGTGTTATCTCAAAACCTTGTTAAAACTGTGATTTCTTTGATAATTTGTCATTTTTAATTTTAAGTTTGAAATTTAAAATTCTCACTGATTCAATCATAGGAAAAAAAGAAAATCATAACCAGATTATACAATGTATTTATACACATTTATCAGAGAAAAATAAATATCTAAAAACTTTTTTGAAGTAACATTGTTTTCAGTTGAAACATTATTAGAAGCAATTTTTTAAAACTTATGATTTAGTTTTATATTACAAATATAGGAAGATTTTTACCTATTTTATGGGCCAACGTAATTTCATCTAGTTCTTACAAATTTCATAGATTATTGTTTGGTTTCATTTCTCATAGGGCCCTCCAATAGCTAAGTTTCACAGTTTGGTAGAACACATACAGTTTTATGATCTGGTAGAAGAATGTGGTTAATATTAAGCATGCACAGTGAAAGAAGACCCTTACCTGGAGCAATACTTTCCCACTGTACACGCTCATGGGATACATAGTGCCAAACGTCATCAGAGCAATTGCTATGGCAGAGGCAGTATCTACAGCAAAGTAATTACTAAAAAGAAAAAACAGTTCTAAATCTTAAATACATGCCTCATTTGGCTTCCTACAATTCAGTCTACCGAACATTAATTACCTAAAGCAAAGAGACTATTTTATCACAAGTGGCACTACTGACAATGGGATCATCTCTAAGGGAAAAAAAGTTTTCTGAATAATTTCTCGTCAAAGTTTAGTGGGGGGGGAAACTTAATAACATGAGCATTTCCCTACTATCTGTTTTCAATCAATCTACTTGTCAACTAGGAAGACTTAATGTATGTTCACTTGTTGCAACAAATAAAACCTTCCAATAGTAATTTCTGTTACAGAGACACTAATGGATTTCATCAGTGATTCTATCAATTTTCCTGTAAACAATAACTTTCCAATAATTACTATTAAAATTTTTCAAAATTCCTCAGGAATTTTACAAGGTGAGTTCTACAAAAATCTGTTACCGCAACATTGTGACTGAGGTGCAACATCTCAACAATAGTTCAGACTGTTCTATTAAGACAGACCAAAAAGCCAATAGTTACAAGCACGCCTTTTAACTTTCCCCACATGCTGGGAATAGAAACGTAAGATAAGACATAGTTCCTGCCTTTGAAATAGCAGGAGATACACATGTGGAAAGCATAATAAAGCCCTCTGTGTGCAAAGGAGTAGTCCCTACAGAGAATCATGAACGTCAAGGAGTGTCATAGCTACTGGGGTAGAGACAATCCAGAAAGACTAAATATAAAAAGAGGAGACATTTGAACTGAGCCTGCAAAGAAAAGACGATGGAAGGAAGATATTGTAAACAGTGAAAGCAGCATGTGCAAAGCCCTGGCCGGGTAGTTCAGTTGGTTAGAACGTAGTCCCAATACGGCAAGGTTGTGGGTTGGATCTCTGGTCAGGCCAGATACAATAATCAACCAATGAATGCGTAAATATCTGGAAGAATAATGTTTCTCTCTCTCTCACACTCTTTTCCCCTCTCTCTAAAACCAGTAAAAAAACAATTCATATCCTTCAGTGAGGATTAAAAAAATTGCTTCACACCTACTTGCTCTTCTCTTCCCTCTCTCAGGAATAGCAAGCTATTGCTTATTTCTCTTTTAATGCCCTCTTTTTGTTCCACTCATCAGATGAAGACACTTGAGGACAAGACATGACCAAAGTTACATAGGTCATAAGCAAATGTGCTATAAGCTTAACCCCATCCATCCCATCGATGCCCTTAACAGTCAGGTCCCAGGAATGGAAACACACGACAGAAATAAAAAATACTTACTTAATTTCAATGAGCATATATGTAATACAAAGAGCAAATGCTCCAGCAAGATCAATCAAAACAAATGGATTCATTCGGGGAAGGAAGATACTGCTAAGTCCTGGAATAATTCCACACACGCTATGAGTAAAACAAAAAGAGTATTCATTAGCGGAACTCATGTGATACAGATGAAAACCTTATAAAAGATGACTTGTATTTTAGTATCATGTATCTTTTAAAGAAAGCAAAGAGGATTTGGGTACAAAGCTCACTCATAAAGGTCTCTCTTGTATCATCAACTAAAAAGTAGGAAAAAGTAAAGGAAGGATGAGAATCTGATCTGTGAAATTCATGTATTAACCTCAGCAATGAATCGTGTAAGTTCCCATGACACACGCATTTCTTGTGTATTCCTTTAAAATCACGTATATCGTGAAACCCATAACACCTTACCTGCGACTAAGATCTGCAACATGCTCTTGAAGCCAACTCGTACTAGCAGCTTTAAGAAGAAAATACTTAAATTATCTATACAGCATAAATCACTAGCAAAAATTCTTGATTTCTTTAAAGTTCAAAATAAGTTTGGCAACAACCCATATAACATTACAAAAGGACATGTTACTCCTCAAATATAGAACTTCTGCCTCTTTTATACTTTGAAGATAATAAATCAAAAGTAGTTTCAAGAATTAGTGAAACATATATTAGTTTCAGGAATTAGTGAACTTACATATATCATTACTTTTAATTTGAAGTTTTCAAGGCTCTTTATACTGTTAAGTGGAGTTTCCTAACCAGTGTGCTGAGAATGGGTTATAGGTACACCAATTATTAATTCCTTCAGTGCTCAGAAAGGCCAGGTGGGGGCCTGGCTACAATCAAAGACATCTAATAGTGTCCCTGGACAAGTAAGTAGCCTGCTTCCAGGCTCAAGTGTCCTCTTACATTTATCCCAGTTGCCGGGAATATTCATTTTTTTATGTGCACTCTTGATTAAAAAAAAAAATTGACAAGCCTTACACAAAAGCCAGTATAGTAGGACAGTTAAGAGTTGCCTTGGATGCCAGAATACCTGACTCAAATTCCATCTCAACCCTTAACTAGATGTGAGGCTTGGGGCAAGTGACTTAGTGTCTCAGTGCTTCAGTGTAAAATAGGGAGCCCGGCTAGGTGTAGCTCAGCAGTTGAGCATTGACCTAGGATCCAGGAGATCCGGGTTCGATTCTCTGGTCAGGGCACATGTCCGGGTTGAGGTCTCGATCCCCAGTCAGGGGCGTGCAGGAGGCAGCCGATCAATGACGACTCTCTCATCATTGATGTTTCTCTCTCTCTCCCTCCCTCTCCTTCCTCTCTCAAAAATCAAAAAAGATATATTTAATAAAAAATAAAATAAAATGGGGATAATAAAATCATTTACTGCCTATGGTTATAGGGAGAATTAAATAGGTTATTCTTTGCAAAGCATTTAGCACAATGCCTGGCAGATACTATTTCCCACTCAAGTTTCAGCTAATGGCATAAATCTTGATGTTTCTGAGAACTTTCATTTCCAACTAATGAAAATATAAACTAGAAACCTTTTGGAAATAAATTTGGCAATATATTTATCAAAGCCTTAAAAATATTGTATTTTTAATTCATTTATAATTTCTTCTTTGGGAATTTATCATAAAGAATCATAAATACATACAAGAAATTTAATACAAAGAAGCTGATTAGAGAATTATTTGTAAAAAAACCCAAAAAAAACAAAACCACCCTGGGAATGTAAAAGAATAGACTAATGCTTAAAAATATTCATATGACAAAATATTATGAAAGCATTTTGTTCTTTCTTTTTAACAGGAGAAAACAAAAATTTAATACATATGCATGGGGAATTCACACAGACACGATAAATCCATGAAAATTCTAAACACAGAGAGGCAACACTGGGTATATGACATTTTTGGACAAAGAAGAAATGTGGTATTACATTTCAGAAGTGAGAATGGGCAATTTACAGACAGTTGAGAAAGAAGAGAACACAGGTGGTATGCAAATCCTTGCTAGGTGACTCAGAAACAATAGCTGGAAGCCCTCTTATTTACCATATTTAATTCAAATTAGGCTAAGATGACATCCTAAATTCTCCTACCTGAAGCAGGTTTCTCTAAATCTTTAGGGCAGAAAAGAGGGGAGGGCCAAAGGTTCTTTCTGAGTCTTTTGTTTCTTAATAAACAGCTTAAATCAATATCCCAAAAAGCAGTGAAGCATTTTTTTTCCAAAGTATTTAATGAGGCAATACTCCAGACACTATTAATTGGCAAAAAAAAGATATAAAATTGTAAATGCATACAATTTTAAGTATGCAAAAATATGTATGTAAATGTGCATAAAAAATAAAGGGTAAGCCCTAGTTGGTTTGGCTCAGTGGTTAAAGTGCCAGCCCACGGACTGAAGGGTCCCAAGTTCAATTCCGGACAAGGGCACATACCTTGGTTGCAGGCTCAATCCCCAGCCCTGGCTGGGGTGCCTGGGAGGCAACCAATTGATATGTTTCTCTCACATCAATCTTTCTCTCTCCCTTCCACTCTCTCTGAAAAGCAACGGAAAAAATATCCTTGGTGAGTATTAAAAAAATAAAAATAAAAGGGTAAAATAGAAAGGTTAGCAGTTGTTATTTTAGTTCATGATATTATAAGTATTCTTTTTCATTTTTTTATTCTTTTTTATCTTTATTGATTTCAGAGAGAGGAAGGGAGAGAGAGATAGAAACATCAATGATGAGAAGAGTCATTGATCAGCTGCCTCCTGAACGCCCCTGACTGGGGATCAAGCCCGCAACCTGGGCATGTGCCCTGACCAGGAACTGAACCAAGATCTCCTGGATTCTAGGTCAGTGCCCAACCGCTGAGCCATGCCCGGCCGGGCTGTATTCTTTTTTTCTTGTATCTTTTTTATCTTTACAGAGATATTGTTTCCAAATCTCTGTATCTTTTTAAAATATCTGGAGTGAGCATTATACTATTTTAACAATTTGTAAAAATTTTTCAAAATAATTCTGGTCATCACAATATCATTATTTAATTTTCGAGTTCATGCAGTGAATTCTTAAACTCTCAGTCATACAAATGTAAATCATACTTTGAGACACGAAGTTGTTTAAACTCGAATGGGCATTTCAGAAAGTTTTCTTCCCTTGGTTGTCCTGGTGTTTAAGTCAGTGAGACCTAAAAAGACCCTCGACCATCTCCGACTATCTGGGCTTCAAAATGGAGCTCTGTGCCCACAGCCCACTCTGTTTCTACTCTACTTCTTCATCAGTCACTGGTAAACCCTTTGTGGGTTATACTTCTGAAGTAAAAAAATCAGTCTGAATTTGTAAAGACTTGAAAATAAAAGAATATTTGAAAAGAAAAAAGTTTTGTTACTTTCAAATATATGCCTACCCACAATGCCAAAGACAAGTACCTGGAAACTTATTTAATTAACAGAATTCTATTCTTTTCAATGAGCACATCAACTATTCTAAGTATCCTGAAGCATCTAAAATGCTTGTAATAGACATTTTGTAGGTAAGTTATACATATTAAATTTCATTCATGTTATTTGGTAAATGTAATTTTTCATCACATCTAATTTAATATATGTCAGTCCTACCTGTTTATAAGTACTACAGCTTGAACTAATTAGATTTTGTTTTATAATTCTCTGCTTAAGGATGACTTGAAAACCTTTGGGGTAGTTCTCTCTTCTCTTCAGAATATATTTTCTCACTGATTTATAAGTTAACGAAACAAACAAAAGACTTGTTTTTATGAGAGTAATTAAATTTTTTATTAATGACAAACGTACCTTCAGAGACATAAGCAAAAGGTTTATTCCGAATAGAAAGCATCGTGAATAGGTTGAAAGAAAGAGCCACAAAAGTACCAACTAATAATCTTCCCCTAAAAAAGAACAAAAATAACATTCACCATTATTTTCTTCTTGGTAATATCAATATGTAATTTCAGCATGTAGAGAGACTAAGAAAGAGATGGGAAGGCAGAGTGGTCTGCTTCTATGGTTTGGTATTAGCAGAGCCAGGATCTAAACTTGGTTTCCAGCCCTATAACCCATGTCCTATCTACTGTTGCTCCATCTTACACAGGGCAAAAAAAGACTCTTAGCATTAACACTGTCTTCTTACAGGTAATTGCTGTATAAATGCTAATGGCATGTGGTTTACAGTACACTGGACAGGTCAGACTGTCCTGAATTAAACTGACCAAATAGGTGAAGTCCATATAGCTGGCAACTATGCAGAAGGTAATAACAATTCCATCTTTTCTATAGGTGCTACTAAAAGATTTTGAGAATCAAATTTTAAATACAGAAGATCAGACGGGGCTGGTTCAGTGTGTTGACCTGGGCCTGGAAACAATGAGGGACCTAAATTCAGGGTAGAGAGGCCTTCCTCTGGAGCACATGGGATTGGGAACAGTTAAGAGTGAAGAGAAGGAGGCTTGGGATTTGGAAATTTTGTTTGTGAAATATCAATGAAATGTACATTGCCACACTCTGAACTCTAATATTGGCTAAAGTAATAGTTACTTAGTAATACAACAATTAAGTTTGGGAATTAAACTTAATAGTAAATTATATGTTATGTCAAAAACAAAATCTTACGTGTGAATCTCGGGCTGCTCCAAAAAGCGTTCTACACTAATAGAAAGAAATAATGTATTAAAATAAGTCCTATAAATTATAAAGTTAAAAAGCTTTATTAAACATATAGTTAACCCCATAAATTCACAAAATCTTTAATATGATAAACAATTGTTGCTTATTAGCAGTGATAGGGCAAGGAGACTTACAAATTATCCTCTATACATAATGTCAATCTATCTCTACCTAACCTGTTTCAATGGATTTGTAGTACTAAGCATTACAACATATCTCATTAAATCCCTTTCTTTCATTCACACCTACGTATAATTAAATGGAGTGGCCTCAAAGAAAGTAATAAAAGAGGGTGAAAAGAAGGGAGAAAAGTCTAAAATATAAAGAACTTGTACTATCAAAACTCCAGCACAGCTCATCTTAATTTGTATATCCTACAAACCAGAAGTGTCTCTTACTGGATTCTTTATGTTCCCAAAGGTGCCATAGGTGGAATTTAGATTGACAGTAATATCATATACAAATGTACCTTTCTTTTAATATAAAGAGAGCTCCCAACTGTGCCAAGACTGTGGAGGCAAATACAGCCAGGACTTCTAATCTTTCAAATCTGAAATCAGAAAGTTCATTATGTTAGAGGCAGAAGTAGAATAGTGGGGACTAGCTATAGTTATAAGAAATATTAATCATGCTCTGTTAACCATTACTGTTTTGTTCTGATTAGAGAAAGCACATTCTAACCTGGCTCAGAGTTGTACGCTCTGGGACATGGGAGTTAATCTTGGAAAAATCCGTTATCCTTTTCTTAGAACTGCCTATCATCATGGAAAGATTAACAACCTTGTTCCTGAAATAATGGAGTCCAGAGGTGTCTGGCCTGCATTGCCTGTAACCTGTTAGCATTATACCTTGCTTACCACCCCATGCCTGTAATTCCTACTTTCCCATGTAATCGTTTCCTTCTACCCAACATAAGCAGTTGGCTTATGAGGGCAGTAGAACAGATTTTCGAGGATGATCCATTGCTCTCCCATGCTGCCGGCATTACTGGAATAAACGATAATACACAATTCAACCCTGTCTCAGCTTAATTGGCTCAAGTAGTGACAGGCAGCCTGGACCCATTCATTGTCTGGTTTCAGTTAGATCAGCATAATTCTTTCAATTCACAAACCAGTACCTATATAACACATTTACTTTCATTTACTCATTTATTCAATATACATATCTGCTTACTATAAGCCAAACACTGTTAGAACAGACTACAGAGTTTCAAGAGTGAATATCACAGAGTAAAAAGAGTGCCTATTTGTACAACATATATTACCAGGACTCACTTATGGTTCTTGTTTTTCTAGAAATAACCATTATCTAATTAACAGCTAACACTTAATTGACTCATCTTGTGTTAGATACTGGTCCAAGTGCTTAATGTATTACCTCATCTAAACCTCCCAACCCTTATGAGGGTTACTTTATCCACTTAAAAAAAAAAAGAGAAAAAAAGTTGAAACACAAAGAAAAAAGGTAACTGTTTAGAGTCAGATGACCAGCAAGTGGAAGAGTAAGGTTTTTAACTCAGGCACTCTGACTCCAGAGTTCATGATTTTAACCGCTTATTATACTTAACTGCAGTTAATTATGAGCATGTCTTATAATCCCTAAACTATCAACTAGAGGTCAGGGGCTTTTGTCTATTCATTTTGTTTTTTTCCAAAACACATAGTTTAATGGCATTCCATACTTGTGGTAAGTATAAATGTTTAAAATTTCTCAAAGAAATAATTATCTTCAGCCCAGCCGGCAGAGCTCAATGGTTGAATATCGACCTATGAACCAGGAGGTTCACGGTTCAATGCCTGGTCAGGGCACATGTCCAGGTTGTGGTCTCGACACCCAGTAGCGGGCATGCAGGAGGCAGAGCCAATCAATGACTCTCTCCCACTGATGTTTCTCTCTCTCTCCCCCTCTCCCTTCCTCTCTTTCAAATCAATACAAATATATTTTTAAAAAATGGGTAAAATACTTTAACAAACATTTCACACAAAAAGGTCAACTGAATGTCTAATAAACATATGAAAAAGTGAAGAAGAAAAAAGACAATACCAACCACTGGTGAGGATAGGAAGCAACTAGAACCCTCATATACTGCTAGTGGAAGTGTAAACTAGTAAAATCACTCTGGAAAACTGTTTGGTATTATCTTCTAATGATAAACTGAGTAATTTAACTCAAAGATATATATTCAACATAAAGAGAACACATGCAAACTAGAAGACATGTACAATAATGTGCATAAGGAGTTTTATTTATAATAGCTAAAGGCTTACCTACCAAGAGCGGAACATAAGAACAAACTGAAGTGTATTCCTATAATGGAATACTAGAGCAATGAATAAGAATGAACTGCTATATGTTTTCTAGAACTACTATAGCCAGCTCTTTATTGCCTAGTACAATTATTACTTTAATAGCAGTATTAGCAGAAAATAATTTGAACTTACCCAAATGAATAGGCAGGGCTAGGTTTCCTCATCATTACCCAGTAACTTATTAAACATGTCATCAAACTAAGTAAAAAGAAAAATAAATTTATCATTAGATATACAGCTAGAAGAGAACATAACATGTAGGAAGAAATTAAGTTTTCAGAATCCCTAAGTTGCTGAAAGTTATCAGTATTTATACAGACCAAATTAATAACTTATTAAATAATTTATAATTTATTCACAATGAACATCCTAATAAGTGGCAGTTTTAATATGTGGAGAAATTGAAAGAGGTTGATACATCATCAAGTTAGTTAAACAGAACATCAACCCGTATTTTCTCTGCTCAGTAAGTTATCCACATTAAATGGTTTCCACAACTGAGCATGCAAAAAATGACACAGTAATAATGGTAATATATTTCATTTTAGGCATAAACAATAAATTTTAACTTTCATAAACTTTAATCTTTTATAAAAATTAAGCAAGATATTAATAACACCTTGACAACATTCTGGATAGGACAAAATGATGTTCATTTTCTAAGTATAGTGGAGATGGACTCTAAAACAACTTACTATGTGTGAATTTGAGGTAATTCAATTCCGATGGTTTTAGACCAATCAAGTCGATTTAATTAGGTGATTAAAGACACCCTTATGATGTACTCATATGGCATAGACCTTGAAGATATCAAGGTATTTTCCAACACTTAAATGGAAATATGAAAGGCCCCATGAAGCAGGGAGCCATAGGTTGTCTTCCTAGCTCACAATTACTTCTCAGTTATTCATGCCCCCTCATTTGTTTCTCCATATACAGTTACAGTGGGAACTGCTATGTTCTTATGTGACCCTGCTCCCTGGCCACAGCTAACTCACCCACAGGTAAGCACCTGAAGCACCTGAGCCAGGATATTATCTTTTCTGTTGCTGTGTAAATGAAATACTTTCTTCTAGTATATATGATAATTTATTGTTTGCATATATGCTCTACATTGACAATTTTACTTATTTCACAGATTACTTTCCTTTAAGCCAAGAAAGCTTCATAAAAACGGGACAAATTCTTTATTAGCTTCCAAATATTAGGAGATTTTTAAAAACTTACCTAAATAGATCAAAAATGGTCAGGTAAGTATACGCAGTTAAAGCTGCAAAACAGATTGGTTAAAATGTTACTGAATCCATTGTTAGGAAATATAGCAAATCACAAAAATTGTTCATACCAGGGGTACTCATCCCCCCCCCCCAAAAAAATGAGTCACTGATTAACCTCGTATGTTGGCAATTATTCAGTAAATTTGATTACTATATGTAGTCAAAGTTGGTTAGTACAAAAGCTTCCTTTAGGAACTTATTTCTCTCTTTTTTAAAAACAGTATGTTTTTATTGATTTTAGAGACAGAGGAAGAAAGACAGAGAGAAACATCCATGTACGGGGAACACTGACTGGCTGCCTCCCACATGTCCCCTTCTGGGAATTGAGGCAGCAGCCCAGGCACGTGTCCTGACTGGGAATCAAACTGCCATCTCCTAGTTCATGTATCAACGCTCAACCACTGAGCCAAGCCTGCCAGGGCAGAACCTTATTTCTCCATTGGAAAAATAAAGCAGTATGTGCTCAAAAGACCTGTGACCATATTTTTTGCCTTCTTATGTCATCTGAGAACTATTTTAAATATATTCATTGAATAGCAGGATGTAAATAATAGTACATAAAAATATAGGAAGTCAAGACAAAAAAATTACAGATTTCCCTTTTCAAAAAAATCCAACAAATCTCAAAAGTCTACTTATAAACTGCATAGACAGAAGTACTAATATATCACAGGAAAAAGGAATCATAGTTTTTCAAATAGATTTAAAGATTTAAAAAAAAAAATAGTTCATTCAAAAAGATAATGCCTAATAATTGAGCAAAACTTTATAGATTTCAAGGCACTTTTCAAATTGATTTTCTCATTTAAATCTTTTGAGTTATATTTCAGAATAATATATTCTAGGTAAAGAAAGCTGTATCTTTATTAAAAATTCTTTTTACTGTGATATATTAGCCCTGGCTGGGTAACTCAAGTGGTTAGAGCATCATTCCGATATGCCAAGGTTACAGGTTTAATCCCCCATCAGGAAACATATAAATGAACAACAAATTGATTTATCTACCTACCTACCTACCTCTATCTCTCTCCCTTCCTCTCTCTAAAATCAATTAAAAAAATCAGAATAGTAAAAGTAAAACTAATAATTAACACAGTAAAAATAAGAATGGTGACGTACCTATACTGTTAGTGGAACTGCACCACATAAGCAGGAAGCCAGTACATGTTAAGTTTATTGCACCGAAGAGCAGTATCTTCCAGGACTGTGAAAAAGAAAATCATTCTTATTTGCACAGTGCTGATAAACTTTGCTGAATATGTTCAAGTTGCTATAATTCATACTTTCAATATTTAAAGGAATAATTATAACTTCCTTCAAAAAGTCGGTGTCACATTTTCTAAATTTATCAAAATTACCATCAACCAAGTTGTTATTATAATATATAAATGTAAAAGAATAATTCCAAAAAAAGAATTACTCAAGGGAAAAAATAAATTCTGACACATAAATTCAAATATCATTTTGTTTCCATAAAAAAATGTATAGAGAGACAATGAGAAAGCAAATGAGGCGAAAATGTAAGCAACTGGTGAATCTGAGTATAGGTATGTGCCCTTGGCCAGAATTGAACCCGAGACCCTTCAGTCTGTGGGCCAACGTTCTAGCCACTAAGCCAAACTGGCTAGGGCTATATCTTTTTATTTTAGGTCTCAAAGCACATTTTTTTCTGCCTTACATTAAAAATGAGAAAACATGGCTTTAGATTACATCCATTTATTTCTTTTAAAAATTATTAACACAAGGCAGTCACAAAATAATTTTTAAGACTCTTTAAAGTTAGGAAAAAACCTGAAGCCTAGCCTCCTCCCAAGCAAAATAGCTGTATGCTGAAGTACTAAAATTGTACATTAAAAAATTATTTATCCAAAATAAAAAATGAAAACAGGGTGGTAGGATTGAGAATGATTTCTATTTGCCTTAAAAATTACTGTTTTTTCAACACCATGTTTGTGCAATAATTAAAGTTAGGTTAAGGAATAAAAATAACTTACCCTTCGGTCAGATGCTACAAGTCCAAATTCCTGTAATAACTTGCCAAAAAAAGATCTTTGTGGTTTTCGAAAGAGATGAATTGTCCCCTTTAAAACAAACGAAAATATACAAATCAGTATATAAGTATCTATTCTTCATAGTTCCTGTGATGTCATGTAGAAATAACAACTAACATTTATTGAAAGCTCAATACATGCCAAACACTTATCCTAGACACTTTATACATATTTATCTATTTAATTCTCACAATAATCCTATGAGGTGGAAATAATTTTTAGTAACTTTTCCAAGGGCGCAATGATAGTAAATGGCTGAGCAGAAATTCAAACCCAGTCATTTTAGCTCCATACCACACTTCATTTTTAAATGGGTAAGGCAATTTTGAACCAGAAGAGCAAAAAGTTTGTTAAAATGCTCTACTGGAAAGAAAATATTACAATTTACATAATCAAAGCTTTATGTATGAAAGGTCTGGTAACTGTTACTGCAGTAAAGTCTCTGAGGTTCTCTCTTAGGCATTCAAAGTACCTGACATCCATGGCTCCTGCTAGTATGTGGTATAAAGCTAGCAGAAAAAGGGCCTGGCAGTAGGGTTACCAATCAGAGAAGAGACTGAGTAGTGACTAGAGTGGGATTTGCTCTTCAAGATCAGAAAACCACATGAGAAAGCCTTAGAATAAAGGAGAGTTCAAGCATGTATGGAAAATTAGCTTATGACTATGGTAGTATCCAACATCAGTGGGAGAAAATATGAGTCAATCAATAAATGGTGTTTGGAAAAAGGTAAAACTGGATCCTTTCTATACTCCATACTCTAATTTTTTATTATTTTAAATTAAAATGCAAAATTATAGAGTACTTGAAGAAACTACAAATGTATAATTTTATAAGCTTGGAGTTGGAGAAAACTTTTCTTAATAGAATATAAAACAAAGAGGCTAGGAAGGAAAAAAATTTGATCAATTTTACTATATACTTTCACATTGGGAAGACAATAGCCTAAAAATAAACAAACAAAAACCCAGGAAAGATAAACTGTGAAAAAAATCAAAAGCAAAGTAACTGTCTCTAGGGGAAAAACTTCATAATTTTCAATGGTCATACATAATTCTATTGCTAAGTGTGATGTTTGCGTCTTAAGTTTAACAAAATACTTTCCTAGATGGTAAAGGTAACAGTCACCGTAATAGTCATACTCCATTTCTACATTACTAAAGTTGTCCAATTTCACTCAAACACTGAAACTCCACAGAAAGCAGCGGAGCTGGGTATCAGATTAAGATTGTGAAAAACTTTCAGATCCAATTCAAGCAGAGGCATAATTTTCCTACAGTTAGCATCTAGGAACATCTCACTGTAGAAAGGTAAAGCTTATTTCTTCTAAGCATAGACATGCCACTGGTTACAGTAAGTTAAGATTCAGAGACAGAAAATAAGACTGAGCATTAGAAATCTGGCATAAGAAAAATAGCAGAATGTTGATCATTGTTGAGGAAGAGTAATGGCTACATGGGGACTCATTATATTTTCTCTACTTTTATGTATGTTTGAAATTTTCCATAATAAGAAAGTAATAAAGTAAAAAATGACTTTAAAATGTAAAAATAATGTATCAGAAAAGTGTTACTAATTTTGGTATCTAGATAAGGACCAGTGTACATGTGTAACCCTAAGGTGCTAAGAAATTTATTTGAAAAGAAACAATATACTATTTTCCTTTGTGATGGTAATAAATGCTAATGTTAATCAGTATACTTTGTTCTTAAAGAACTGGATTTGGGGCCCACTGGCCTGGCTCAGGGGTTGAGCATCGACCTATGATCTCTGACTTATAATCCAGGAGATCAAGGTTTGATTCTGGGTCAGGGCACATGCCGGGGTTGTGGGCTCTATCCCCAGCAGGAGGTGTGCAGAAGGCAGCCAATCAGTGACTTACCATTGATGTTTCTATCTCTCTCTTTCCTTTTCCCTTCCTCTCTCTGAAATCAATAAAGATATATTTAAAAGAAAAAAAGAACGACGTGTGGGATAGTCTGGTCCCAAAGGTAATTCTGATTACTACCGTTACCAATGGGTATCTTCTAACTTCAGCCCACCTACAATTATTTGTTACTTTTAAGTTTTAAGATAAGACAATAAGGAGTTTTTAAAAGGCAGGGGGCCATTTCTAATGCCAATCTGATATTAAAAATAAAACAAAAATCCTAACATTCATGACACTCTTTCCCAAATTTATTGGCTCTCCATTGCAATCAGCATAAACTCCAAATTTTACAATCTGGAAATCAAAGCTTTCAATGGTTTAGCCTCAGTTCCCTTTCAGTTTTCTCTCTTGCTCCAAAAGGGGAATCCTCAACTCCAACTAGACTGGTGTGCCTGTGTCTGATCATTATACCACTCTAGAGTGAAAGGGCAAGACTTGTCCAACCCAAGCTCTAATAGCCCTATAACATGTAGCAAGTTTCTTGACCTCGGTTTCCTGATCAAATGAGAGTAATGAATAGTGATTAAGAGTATGAGAGTAAGGCAGGAAGTACTCAATTGCATGTTTAACTTCCTACATGAATCCTTTCTAGATTATTCAAACCTCAGTGTGTTTCTTTATGCTTACTTTTTACTTAACCATGGGATAGCCTTCATCTCATCATTTTGCATTGTAAGTTATTTTTTTAGTAACTTCACTATGACAAGGGTTATATTTCCTTTACATTTTCTAAGACAGCACTGTGCTTTGCATACATAGTATGTTCTTAAATAATACACGAGAGACCCATAAGATCTTTCTTCCCCAAAACTTTAAAAATAAAACTTAAATGCTCCTATTTCCCTACATTACTGTTTCAAGCATAAAAACTTAGTGTCATAGTTATTTCGTCAGTGTTTTTGAAAACTTCCTCTGGACAAGGCACTATAAAAGGCTCTGGGAAGAGGAGTGAATACATAGGTCCTGCTCTCAAAGAGCTTACAGTCTAGGAAGAAAGGCGAGTAAATACCCAATTTTAACATAGTCTGGTAAGGCCTATAGATGTCATGGGTACAAAACCCCAGGTTATCATGGAAGCATAAAGGAGGAACCTAACAGGATCTTGACACATGGCAGAAAGGCTCACGAAAGAGACTAAAGAACATGTAAGGGTTATACTGATAAGGATGGCGGCTAGGAAATGGAGAATGATTCTGCCAGATAGAACAGCATGTACAAATTAGGTGCAAAGGCCTAATTCTTAGAGAGATCTGCAAGCAGCTCACTGTAGCTGGATGTATGAATGAGTAGTAGAAAGGCTGTAAAGGTAAGAAACTTCACTGCAGGTGGCTTTGTAGGCCATGCTAAACAGAACTTATCTGAGGGCTACAGAAAAAAACCTTTAGAACTTTTAAGCAAGGGAGTGGCATACTTAACTTTGATAAATTTAACTTTGGCTGCACAGTGGTGAATGTTTTAAAGAGCGCAACTGGGAGCTATCTGGTTAGCCAAAAAAGGTAAACTTTACCCACTGTCTGTGTGTAAGAGGGATTACAGGTAATTTCCAAAAGATAGAGTACATGAACAACATTTTTTCGACCATATCCATTCAAGGAAAAATTTAATAGAGTGACAATGGCTTAGGCACAGAAATGCAGTCCTTTTCTCACATGTAGGCTACCCACAAGAGATGAATTTTTCTGATAAAATAATTTGTACTTCTTTTGACCCTAAAATCACAAACTGCGTATCTTTAGACAAAATTCAGAGAACTATGATTTCGACGAGAATAAAATGACGAGTCCCTCTAACAAAATTTAGATTTAACACCACATCCCCCAAGCCATAGGGATACTGGGATCTACAATCACAGGAAAGAGCTGCCTGCCATAAGATGCTCCACCAACACCTTGACTTTCTCCAGTCACTGGCCTTCTGAAAGTTGCTGCCAGATCAGACTATGTGGCACTCGATAAAGCCAAGTTGCAGAGTGGGGTGTGCGCCTCAACATGCTGCCCATAACCCTATTTACTTATGACGGCGTTAGCATCGCTGCTGTGAACACCACTATTACGGTCGTCGTTGATGTGCACTTGTTTTCAGATATTTTGCTGGTGCTGCAGACGCTGACGCCGGTAGACTTAATTCTACATGAAGGGAAACCTCCGTAGTGGGAAGCCGTCAGCTGTCAGGAGCTGACACCTTGGCCTGGAGCGGCCGGGGAACGCCGGGGGCCAAGGAACGAGGTGAGGGAGAGGGGGAATCAGAGCTCTGAGGGAAATCTTTCGGGCTCCAGCCGCTTCTCCCGCGGGGCCCGAGCACAACTCCGACGACCCCTCCTCTGGGCGGCTGAGGCGTGTCAGGGCCGCTTCAGGACGAGAGAAGGTAAGAGGGAATTACCTGCAGAAACCCTCTACCCCCCGGCCAACTCACCATGATAAGGAGCGGCACAGCTCCCGCCGGAAGACGCTCTGGGAGCTGGTTTTTTTCCTAGAGCGGAAGGGGTGGAGCGTCAGAGGCCGATTGGCTGCAAGCAACGCGGGGACGCAAGTGCGTGCCCTGGCTTCCGGTTTCCGCCCCACCTTCTCGGCGGCCCTGGTGTTCCATAGAGGCGAAGGAGCCGGCTAGAAGGACTCCGAGCCGGCCTTTCAAGCGGAGGGTGGTTAAGATCGGAGAAACAGGGGCCTCAATCACAGGTTGCATTTAGTTGTTCTGTTTAACCCCTTCAGCATGGAACGTTTTTACTTGATTTTCATGACCTTGCCACTTTTGAAAATCACATGCCAGTTATTTTGTAGCATGCTCCTGGAGTAAATTCAGGTTATGCATCTTGGACAGGAATGTTACTGAGGTGATACTGCATTTTTCTCGTTGACCTATTATGTGAAATTTGGCCCATTAATGATAATTTTCATCATTAGATTGAGGTGGCATCTGCCAGGTTTTTCCACTAAAAACTCCTTTCTAATATTTTGTGGAGATGTACTTTGAGACCATGCAAATATCTCATTCATCATCACACTTTCAATTTGTTCTTGTATTTAGGATTTATTTAGCCACATTGACTCCTGGTTTATTTTATGATGGCTTATAATCCATTACTATAATTACTTATTTTAATGTTCAAATTTGCCCAGTGGGAGCCACTCCAGTGACTCACTCTTGCCAGTCTTTTTTTTTTTAATCATCATCCAAGGATATTTTTTATTGCTTTTAGAGAGAGGAAGGGAGAGAGAGAGAGAAACATCGACTGGTTGCCTTGAGTCTGCACCCCGATCAGGGATCAAACCTTCAACCTAGGTATGTGCCCTGACCCGAACCAAACCCGACCCTTCAGTGCATGGGAAGATGCTCCAGCCAACTGAGCCACACCAGCCAAAGCCATCCTCGCGAGTCGTTGGGCACTTTCTTCTTTTTTGGCACAAGATATTCCAAGTTCATCATGTATAGGAGTGGACAAAAGCAGGCTTACAGTTGTTTGTATGGAAAATAATACAATAATTATTAAATAACAATATACAATAATTATTAAATAATTATTAAGGATAACCCGTTTCAGGTACAACTGTAAACCTACTTTTGCTCACCACTGTATGTTCTCTGCCTCAACCCTGGAATTGGCCATTTCACCAAGGAACCCATGTTCTTTTAGTGGCTGTTATGGACTGAATTTTTGTGTTCCCCATAAAATTTATATGTTGAAGCCCTACATTCCAATGTGATTGTATTTGGACATGGGATCTTTGGGAGATAATCATGGTTAGATGAGGTCATGAGGATGAGTCCTTCATGATGGGATTAGTGCCCTTTATAAGACTCCAGAGAACTTGCTGCCTCTGCCAGGTGAGGACACAGCTACAAGGTGGCTGTTTGCAAGCCAGTGAGAGCTCTCACCAGAAACCAAATAGGCCAGCAACTTTATCTTGGATTTGCCCACCCTTCTGAAATGTGAAAATAAATGTTATTTAAGCCACTCAGTCTATGGTAGTTTTGTTAGAGAAGTCCAAGCAGACTAAGATATTTTTTTTTTAAATATCTTTATTGATTTCAGAGAGAGGAAAGGAGAGGGAGAGAGATAGATAGAAACATCAATGATGAGTCATTGATCAAGCCCACAACCGGGCATGTGGCCTGACCGGGAATCGAACCCCGATGGCCTGGATCCTAGGTCAATATTCAACCTCTGAGCCATGCCCGGCCGGGCCAGACTAAGATTTTGATACCAAGAAGTGAGGTGCTGCTTTTAAAAACACCTAAAAATGTAGCAGCTGTAGCGACTACGACAGTGAAGAATTTGGAAGGCAAGACATGGGTGTTGTGTGTGTTTTGGAGGGTGTAACTGCTCCCAGGCCCCTTAATGGAGCAAACTAGGGAATATATGTATATGGATACATACACACGTATGTACATTCACACACATCTACATTTCATCTATTTTTATATATCTTAAATCATGAATTCATACTCTTAAATCCAATCCCAACCCAACCTCACAGGTTTCATTTTAGGTTTTGCCCTTTTTCTATTCATAGCAACTTTCTCTGACAGTGAAAACAACCTTTCACAGCATCCAGGTTATAATAACCTGGATGCTGTGAAAGGTTGATTTTAAGCTGTCACAGTGAGCTTCCCGATTTTGCCCACAGTCCAGTCCTTAGTTCTAGGATGTCCTTCCTCCTAAGGTATTGCCCTTTTGGTTTCAATGGATATCCTGAAGTGTAAACTCCTCTTAGTGGAATTTGAATTTCAAACTCTATTACCCCAGCAGTGGCTACCTCCACTCAGTTCCTTAGACTTTGACTATTGCTTTCTGCTGGGTTCCTCCGAATTATCACATTGCACAGGTACAATTTGAAAGGAATTTGTAGGCAGATTTTGGCTTATATATTTGAAGCTCTCTCCTTTTTAAGATTTCCTTCCTAATTTCCAGCTGTCCTAGAAGACGCTAATGACCCCTCAGCTGAACAAGACGGTCACATTCTGCTTGAATTCTAAAGCTAGTGAATGTGGACCTCTCCTAGTATATTAGTTTGTGCAGTTGCTGCCTGTTTGATTACTCTATAGAGTCTTCTAATCATTTTTGTATTTTATTCTGAGTTTATAATTGCTGTTGGCAAGAGAGCCCAATACAAGCTACTCCTTCATTACCAGACTGCAACCTCTGAAATCTAACAGAGTTTCAAATAAAAAAATTAAAGGCAAAATAAAGTTTGTAATTTATTTCCAGTCCATTAGGATAAACACCACTTTGTGCAGCCAAACCTTTTAATTCATTTCTTGTGAAGAAAAGTACAAAAGACCAGATTAAAATTGAGACAAGCATTTAAAGGAAAATCCTTGGACTCAGAGTCCAAAAACAAACTGTGAGTAATTCATTCTACCAAAAGAATTTTTTGTACAAAATATAAAGAATTTTACACTATAAACAAAAACTGCTGTATATTTACATGTTAGAATTCTAGCATCTGCTTTGCCTCCAATTCTTTCCAAGCACAAAGCATATTTGCAGGTCAGGAATCTGATAACCTCAACGGGCAAATTGTCTTAGCATAAGCTTTCACACTTAAGATATCTTGAAAGATAGTATCGGTTCTTTCCCTTGGCTTAGAGTCCAGTACATCAATAAGTTTTAATTTAGTTTACAAAACTCTGCCATATTAACATGAAGAGCACACTAAAATTTAACGTTTAAGCATTACCTTTTAGGAAGTAATATGACACAGAGCTCAATGCAAAATCTAAAAGGTTACAATCTACGTCTAATATTAATTCAAAAAACCTCAGCAACTTCTATGTTGAAAAAGACCAAACCAACCTCTTACACATCCTACTATTATTATTCTCCTATTTTAATGGTCCTTCTATGAAAGAAACACAGCTGAAAATAAAACTTGGTCATAGTAAGTCAGAAAATAGTTCTCTAGCACTAGGCTCAACTTCAGACTTGATCAGGAAAGTAAAACCACTTCTATACACAGATGGATATTCATATATCTGACTCAATGTTTATGATAATAGTAACCTGACTTTTACATATTTTAACATTTGAAATTTTTATTTAAAAGCTTTCCCAATAAAAGTGACCTACATTAAATTATTGCTGATAAATTATAATTTTAAAGATATTTTAAAAGTTGAGCTTAAGCACATAGACCTTTAATATGACTAACCAGTTATCCAAATTTCAATAATGTTAATCCTCCTTTTCCAAATGAAAATACAAAATGAAATTTTGAGTTTTGTTGAAAATGTTTTATTTTGGGATGTTTCCAATTCTTGTCATCATGTATATTTCATCATCTTTGATCACCAATTTTATAATGGATGCTTTAATGTTTGACACCTTAAAAAGATGCATGGTTCTGGCTTACAATTTTTTTTCTGTTTATCTCAACCCTAATTTTTATTATCCAGGGAGTTCAAAAGTCATGACTAGAAGACATGTTGATTTAAATTATGTCTACAAACCCCATATGATGTTAAGAAACCATACATCTATATTTAGATAAACCTTTAACAAGAGCAAGATTAAAATGAAGAATGTAAAAGAACAAAAATAATAATAATGTATATCATCATAAAATTCTTATCTAGCAAGGGGCAAGGTTTTAACTTTAATGTGTTCTCTCAAAACCAAAGATATTTTTCCTAAATGAAAAAATCTTTGTTCCTACTGTAAAACTATTCTTTTCACCCATGACATTTTACATAAAAGCACCAAATAAAATTTCTGTAAACAAACTTTTAACCAGTAAACTAAGGGCAAATATCCATTTGCCTTTATTACAACATTTAAAAGGCTGTAATACGAATCTCTACTTCCTACAATGACATTTTTATAACAAAAAATCAGGCATACTTATACAAACAAGAAACAGAATTACTGTACATTTTGGAGGAACAAAAGGCAGATTAACAGACTACAACTTGTTTGTTAACAAAGTGAGCACAAGAAACCTATAAAATTATGCAATTTATAAAAATTCAGTAACTTTTTAAAGTTTCATTGAAGGGATTAATAATTACTAAGACTAAAAGATGGTAGATCCACTGGCTTATCCTTATCCTGTAAACAGTAAGAAAGTAATAAGCAATAAATTAGAAATGTCTTAGCTCCCAGTACTTCCCTTTTCTCACACAGGAACCACTTTTACAGCTGTTAAAATTGACTTTCTTAAATATTAGAGTAATTCTAGCAAAAGATAAATTCCATTAGGAATAAGTTAACAGTCTACAACAGATTTCTAACAAATGTATTAGAAAAAAATACTGTGGTCACACAAAGATTGATCTACATGTTGTATGACAGAGTGACTCAAAAACTTCCGAATTTCTCTTTTACTAGACTTGTTTTGTTACTTTCTAAATTGTTTGGTAGGAAACATACTAGGAAAATAAAAAGTGAAAAGAATACAATTGTTTAATGTCTGTAGATTTATGGAGGAAAAGCCTTCAAAATCCTTTTTCCTATTACTGTTACACAGAAAAAAGTTTCATTTGGCACACAATTTGTAGAAAGAAAAGGAAACTTAATGTTTGGCATTCCAATCACCCATAGTAAAGACAACAGTAGGAGAGGAAAATAGGTAAAATTTCTATTTTAAAAAAGACGTCAGAAGACAACCAACGGCTGTTGTATCTTTTTACCATTTACTGTCTCTGAATACTTTCATCTGCAACACAATATACAAATTATTATTTACATCTGATTATATTGGTAAAGAAGGCTGGAACCAGTTTTTATTGTGCTCTAACTTACAGTGCCCATCAGGATAACCATGACCATCAAGGCAAGAAGGCCTTGAATAAAATATTCCATTTGTGTTGTATATTTTATTTTAATTTGTTTTATGGTTCATCTTCTGGGATGCTCAAATAATTTTAAGACTCTGAAAAGTCCTGTAAACTTAGGCTGAGTGTCTGTAGCTGATAACTATTCACTGAAGATGGTGTGTTTCTCTCTTGGTATGAAAATGTTCTGCAGGCTTACAAAGGTATTTGCTTAAACAGTGGTATCTCCAAAGTCCTTGTTCCAACGTACATATGCTTCTAAGGTTTGAGGGCCCACGCTGCGCTTTATCTTTTTCAAGGATTCAGTGAAGTCAGATAATCGAATATTTCTCATCTAGATTTTAAAAAAGCACATGGCAATACAAATAATGAACACATATACAGTAGTTAACCCAATAGTGGATTAAATGATGTTTATTCATGTTATAAATATATATAGATGAATTCCTAAAAAATCATGCCAATCATCTTTTTTTACATATACACGGTGGGGTAAAAGTAAGTTTACCATTGTTCATATGGAAAATAATACAATAATTAATAAATAATAATAGAAGAGTAAACACTGTTTCCCGTACTTACAACTGTAAACCTACTTTTGCCCCATCCTGTATATTAGGAAAGACTGCCATATAAGAAAACTTATACAAATGCTACACTAATATAGTTTTATTACATATGTTTAGTTTCTTAGGTATTAACATTTAAATCATATTTTCCCATTATCAAAACAAGAAACAATCATTATAGAAAATTTGACAAAATATAGACAAGCAGAAAAAGAATCACTCACTCACAGTTCCACCATTGAGATATACAACCACTCCTTATCTCTTTCCAATTTTTTCTGTATATAGGTTCACAGAATTTTACATTCTCAAGTCTCACTCACTACATACTCTAGCTAAAATTCATGCTAGGTTTACTAGAAAGGAAAGGGGGATTATAAGAAGCATATAGGACTTTTAAGAAAATGTCTTTAACTATAACATGTATGATGCTTGTATGTGAAATTTTCTAATATTAATTTTCTAATATTTCTAATATTAATATTGCTTATAATGTATTTTTATATTACTTGGTCTTATTTTATGACACTGTAATTGGCTTTGAGAATGTAGAATAAAACAATGCTGAATTAAAACATATCTGTATTTACCTAAGGATTTTTAAAAGGCAAAATGGAATTTGGCACAAAAGACTAGTATTAAAAATTGTCACTAGCCTTGGCTGGGTAGTTCAGTTGGTTGGAGTACTGTTCTGTACACCAAGAAATGGCAGGTTTGTAGGGGTGCAGCCAGGAGGTAACCAATCCATGTTTCTTTCTCTCTCTCTCTCTCTCAAAATCAATTTAAAAAACCAAAACATATCCTTAGGTGAGGATTAAAAATTTTTCACTAGTAGATACATGCATATTTTGCCCCAAAATAAGAAGTTAAAGGAGAATTTGAGACTAAGCTTGAAAAAAATCTTATCTGTCTATAGTCTTTTTATTACTCATAAAACCCAGTCTAACTACTTGACATCCTCTCCGGTATCTCCAAAAGCACAGAGAAAGAAAATCACCTATACTTGTAACTTGTAGCCTAATCTGGAAAATCTTAGTCAAAAAGAAAAAGGATATATTATTTCCACCCAATCACCAGATAGGCCCTGCATGTTTCTTATTTAACTGTAAAACACACACGGGCTCTCCCTAACGTCAAAAGCGTAGAAGAATGGCGAAATGTAATGTGGGCATTATCTGTGATAGTTCCTGAAAACAATCTGTTACATAAATTAAGGTTTTAAATGCTTCTGATGAAATTCTAATTTAAGTATGTAATTTGATGTATACATATGAAATTTATATATGGTTATTTAAAGTTAGTAAGAGACTAATGTATACAATAGGAAAAAGCAACTTTTCTAGTTTAGCAAGCAGTCACCTACTTGCTTTCATAAAATTATTATAAGATATTAATGTATCAAAGCATTCCATTTTAGGTACAAGCAAGCTGCCTTCCTAGTGGATCTCCATAGGAAATGTCATGGGGCTAGGAGCTTGAGACAGAGTGCAGAACACTTGCAGATGTGGGGATGAGTGAATTTTGCCTGTGAAGTCAACTGAGAACTTGCAGACTACTTCTTACTAAAATTTGCCAGTTGGTGGTATTAGCTCATTACTGCCTTGATTGGTCCCTTTATTTGTATGGTCTTTCCAAGGGACAAACACAGAGGTCTAAAATGTCACACAATGGGCCCTTCCTCAACTTTAATCTAGGGGGCCAGAGTATGAGATATCAAGTTTACCTGTCCTGGATCTGAGTCAGGGAGTGGTGCATGGAGAAGAAATAATTCATGCTTGATGCTTACTTTTTGGGTAGAAAAGTTCTATTAGATCTATGCTATAAGAACATTTAAAAAATAATGTATTTGTGGGATGTTGTTAATAAATTATACTTAAACTATTAAAAAACCCCTAAGAGCCTGGCCAGCAAGGTTCAGTGGTTGAGCACTGACCTATGAACAAAGAGGTTATGGTTCGATTCCTGGTCAGGGCACATGCCGGAGTTTCGGGATCAATCCCCAGTAGGAGGCATGCAGGAGGCAGCCAATCAATGACTCTCTCATCATTGATGTTTCTATCTCTCTCTCACCCTCTCCCTTCCTCTCTCTAAAATCAATAAAGACAGCCCGGCCGGGCGTGGCTCAGCGGTTGAGCATCGACCTAGGATCCAGGCGATCAGGGTTCGATTCTCGGTCAGGGCACATGCCGGGGTTGAGGGCTAGGCAGCTGATCAATGACTCTCTCATCACTGATGTTTCTATCTCTCTCTCCCCCTCTCCTTTCCTCTCTCTGAAATCAATAAAGATATATTTAAAAAAAAATAAATCAATAAAGACATATTAAAAAAAAAATCTCTGACAGGTAAGTTACAAATATAATTTTATTATTTTTTATTTACTTATTTTTTAAAATATATCTTTACTGATTTCAGAGAGAGAGGAAGGGAGAGGAAGAGATAGAAATATCAATGATGAGAGGGTCATTGATCGGCTCCCTCCTGCATGTATTCTACTGGGGATTGAGCCTGCAACCCCGGGCATATGCCCTGACCTGGAATCGTTGAACTGCGATCTCCTGGATCATAGGTTGAGACATGCTCAGCCCATTTTAAAAGTTTGTTCACACAGTTATGATCATTCTGCATTTCCAATTTTATGTTTCTTAGGCAGGCAGTAGTTTTCAAAAGAAATTCTTTAGTATCTCATAAGAGGGACTACCATATTAAGAAAATATAATAAATTACATTACAATGGTAACTGTATTATTTTTATAAGGAGGAAAACAATGAAAAACTAACAAAATAGAATATCAAAGGCTTAACCTGTTACAAGTTATTTTCAAAATGTATAAAATCTTTATTTCCTACAATTTTCTTGTTTAGTATTTATGTAATATGAATCGTTAGAAAATGACTTAATCACTGTGTACAGTATTTCTGTTCAATACCAGTGAACAACGTAAGGTATTGTAATTGGCTAGGCCTCAATATTTTGAAATGAAACAGTTATTTTTTTCTAGTTTCTAATTAAATAAACTATAAAATCCAGACAAAACATATGTCTTATAATACAGAGGACCAAAACCAAGAAAAGGTAATTGTAATATGGTATATACCTCACTGGCAGACATATTCTTCACTTGTTCTGGTTTCAGTTCTGCAAAATATAAAAGGCAGCCACTTAAGAAAAATTTTTGAAGTTTAAACTGTTGAAGAGTAAAACTAGGTACAATGACCTAAAAGTATGTGTTCAATATAAATCATTATGTTAAAAAAGATATATATTAGAGCACATGCAGTATATACATGCTTGGAATAATATTCCTTTTTAGGAGTAACTGGAAGGCATTCAATTTCTTTGGATATTGTACAAAAACCACAGATTTTACAAATTTGAGAGTAAATTTAAAAGAAAACAATTGTTCTTTGCAAAAGGCATTAGCTTTTATTTAAATCTAACAATTTTTGTCTGCTTCAGAAAATAGCCAAAATATTCTAAAACTACAAATGATTTATACTTTAGCTATTGTTTGCGTCCCTATCTGAACAAGGCTTGCAACAAGAAAGTCTGACTAAAATGCTTTATTCAGTGTTTCAAAATACATTCTCAAAGTTACACTTATTACTCTCCAAAGCATCAGTTCTTAACCAGGACCTTGTTTCCCTGTAGGAGATGTATTCTGGAAGTTGCATGTTCCATGTTCTATTTTATCATCATAGCCAGTAATCTGAGTGTATACTTGTCTATGCTGTCTGTGGAAAAGTAGCTGAGAACATCTACTCTAAAGTTATAGTGTAGTGAGTTTAACCTAACCTGAAAATGATCAGTTGTGGTATTTCAGAATCAACAAATTACCCTGAATCAAAACATAATGCATGATATATTTTGCTGCAAGTCCTCAAAAGTTAATATATAATGATAAAAGTATAAATAGTTATATGAGTTCCCTTCGACACATTAATTTCAAGTGACATTAGAATAGTGAAATGAAAAGCACCAAAAAAACCCATTTTCCATTTATCATTCTTTTTTGCTTGCTTGAAAGTTTCCTCCTCTTTGAGTTTTCTGCTGCTTAGCTACTATCAACAAGTGAAACCTGTTGTCTAAAACAGAATTCATGGTCCACTGACCCACAGACTACTGTATGGTCTGTGAGCTGAAAACAGTTTCACATTTTTGGGTTTTTTGTTGTTAATAAAAGAAAAGAATATGCAATGGAGAGTTTATATGGCCACAAACCTAAAATACTTACTATGAGGCCCTTTACAGAAAACTTTGCTGACCCTAAGTCTAGAAAGTACATTATTTCAAGTTTTCCAATGATACAGCTTTACTGCTTTCCTACTAATAAAGAGCTCTCAATAGGGAATTCCTATAAATTTCTGAAAGTGGTCTAATGAAGAGGTGGTATAGATGTTTCAGGCTCTTGTATACCTACCTCGAATAGGACCCAGAGCTGCATCTTTTGCCAAAGCTGTTAGATCACTTCCTGAGTATCCATCAGTCATTCTAAGAATGGGAAGAAAGAGCAAATTATTTTCATCTTTGCAGAGTTAAAATCTCCATGTACTAAGAGTAAAACCTACTTTGCGTTTGTCATTAAGCAGACTGCTGTATGATTTAAGGGCACAGAAAGGCCCACTTGCTAAAAACAAACAAAGCCGTCTACTGCTGGCTCCTTCTTATAATGCCTCAAATTTTCATCATTATAACCATTCCTTTAGATTAAGGCACACTATATCTCCAGGAGGCTCCATTAAATTGTAAACATGTCTCCTGGAAATGTAACATCTATAAACCATTGCTAGCCAACTGACACGTAACCACATTTACTTCTCTATAAGTTAATGAGTCATTGTCTTGACAAACAGCACTGACTTGATGGAATGAGGGCCAAAGTAGATTTTAAATTTTATTTTATTATTTTTAAATTATTTATTTATTGCTTTTATTTATTTTTATTTTTTAAGCTTTTTAATTGAATTTATTGGGGTGACATTGGTTAATAAAATTATATAGATTTCAGTTGTATAATTCTATAATACATCACAAAGATTTCTTTAAATGTAGGACAAACGGGTTAAGGAAGGATCTTCCGTAGAAGACATTGGCAAAAATAGGCACACCTGAATGGGAAGCCACAGTGGAGAACCCTGGGCAGCCAAGAGATTGCCAAAGGGAACTAAGAACTAGGGAGGCAAAGGGGAAAAGGAAAATAAAACAGGGCAGGAAAACATTTACTTATTGTGTACTACGTTAAATAGCTACACAGAGCAAACGCTATTAGCAGAATTCTTTATTGGAATGAAAAAGAAGGATCTCAATATTTCAAAGTAATGAGTTTGCTCTTTTTTCATAGTTACCTAGGAACTCAGTGTTTACTAAAATTACTAGCTACTCACATAACTTATTGAAGATTTTATATTACTTTATATTTTTTCCAGTGATTAAAATTCATGAATGCATCTCCTATATTCAGTTTCTACTTAAGTGTACCATTCATAAAAAAAAAGTTAAAGATGAAAAAGTTAAAGAAAATTATGTGTAATGCAAAAGAAGTTTATATGAAAATATGTGTTGGTATGGACAGATATGAGATACTTTAAATTTTTAAAATTACTTTAATACCACTTACAAGTTTTAACAAATTTATAGAAAGAATATTGTACTATCATAGATATTTAGGTCATGTCTTGTATCTAAAAATTGAAATTTAGATATCATATGTATAAGAATAAGAGATAAGAAAGAAGGTAAGGAAGCAGAGGATGAGACAAGTTTTCTAATACATTACTCATTTTATATTTGAGCTTACTTTAAGCAAAACAGAAAAGGGTTTCTTAAAAAAAAAAAAAAGCCGTAACACAGACCAAATTACTCACCTAGCAAGCTGTGCTAGTTCTTTTTGGGTCAATGGGCTTCCCTGTTTACATAATAGATTTTTAAGTAAAAGCAGTCGTGTCTGAAAAGAAAAGTTAAAGAAATATCAGTCCTTCTAAGAATTAGCTTCATAAAATACCAGGAATCAAGTTCAAATCTTAACTCTCATTTAGGAACTGAATGACCTTACACAAATCACTCTTACCATTTAGTGCCTCATTCATGTCCTTTAAAACTACCATTTTTTGAGAGTTCCTGAGAGAAGTAAAGATAATCCAAATAAAGCACTAAGGAATAGCTACTGTTACTAACAAGGATGTTCAGGGTCTGAGCTAGACAATGTAATTAAAAAAAAGAAAAAAATTTTATACAAGTATAAATTCATATAACATGAATCTCACCCATTGTAATTCAATGTAATTCAATGACTTAATAAATTTAGTTTGCAACCATCACCATAATCCAGTTTAGAACATTTTTATCACCCCAGAAATTTTGCTCATGCTTGTTTGCAGTTAATTCTCACTCTCACCCTTAGCCTTAGCAAATCATGGATCTGCTTTGTTTCTACAGATTTGCCTTTTCTGAACATTTCATATAAATGGAATCATAGTGTGTAATATTTTACATCCAGTGTCTTTCACTTAGTATAATGTGTTTGAGGTCCATCCACATTATAGCATATAAAAGTAGCTCATTTCCTTTATTGCTAAATAATATTCCATTAAATAAATATACCTCATTTATTTATCCATTCACCAATTGACAAATATTTTAGGTTCTTTGCAGTTCTTGGCTATTATTTAAAATGATGCTATAAAAATTTTTGTACATGTCTTGGTGTATATATATGTTTTCATTTTTTGGGGGTAGATTTTTAGGAATGGAATTGTTGGGTCTTATGGTATTAATGTTTATCTTTTTAAGAAACTGCCAAACTGTTTGTCAAAGTGGCTGTACCCTGGATTGGAATACTCAATATTGTCAAGGTGGTAGTTCTTGTTTCTGCTTTAAAAAAAAAAAAAATCACAAATAGATACCTACCTCCTCATTTGGCAAAGACACATATACCCGTTTGATGAAACGCCTAAAAGAAGGATTCAAGCAATTTAGAAACATAGTTTTGAATGTAAAGGTACCTCAGTTTAAGTAGCAAATGACAAGGAAAACGCTTTAAGTATAATGCTCAAGTCATGTGAATGCATTTTAGTAATTAATGTAAAAAATTATTTTTAGAGTTACTCTTTTAAAACTCTCTAATATTTTAAAATCCTTAATTCAATACTGTTAAAATCAAGTTAACCATTTAGGTATGTGCATGTTTTTAAAAGCAGTAACACTGTAAAACAAAATATCTGATATAAGAATTTCAACAAAGACATCTTTGCTGTCTTTTTTTTTTTTTAATGTTTTTATTGATTTGAGAGAGGATGGGAGAGGGAGAGAGAAACGTCGATGAGAGAGAAACACTCAGCAGCTGCCTCCTGCATGCCCCAGACTGGGGATCAAGCCCACATCCCAGACATATGCCTTGACTGAGAACTGAACTGATGAGCTCTCCGTACACAGGATTATGCCCAACCAACTGAGCCACACAAGATAGGGCTTTGCTGTCTTTTTAAAACTAAAAAAAACACCCAAAACTAAAACCAAGAAGGCAACAGAAACAGAAATCTAAACTCCATCATAAAGAAACTAGGTAATGCCATAGCTGGTTTGGCTAAGTGGTTAAAGTGCCTGCCTGAGGACTGAAGGGTCCAGGGTTCAATTCCAGCCAAGGGCACATACCACGGTTGTAGGCCATTTGGGGCATGTGTAGGAGGCAATTAATCGGTGTGTCTCTCACATTGATGTTTCTCTCTCTCTCTCTCTCTCTGCCCCCCACTTGCACTCTCTCTGAAAAGCAATGGAAAAAAATGTCCTGGAGGGGGGGAGAGAGGGAGGGAGGGAGGAACTAGGTAACATTTACAGAATGTGAATGTATGAGGGTTGCCTAGGGCAGTGAAAAGTACGCTGACGAAGGAGGGTACACACTGGGGATCACAGACATGCATGCCAGGGCAGTTTTCCAGAGGAAACAGAGAGAGCATACTCTGAGGGGTAATAAAGCCAAACCCCCCACACTTAGACAAGCATGTGAAGACTGGCTCCGTAGATCATGTGAACTCTCATCAATAACAGGGCAAAGGCAAGGGAGGCGAGACTGAACAAAGAACTCAAACACACATTGTCTTTGTAAGAAGACATCGGTTAGTCTGGCAAGATGATAAACTGTCTTATAGTGACCAATCTTTATTAGTGAAAGACTTGATCAACCCAATGTCTTATTTACACACACACACTTGTTTATCAAATAGGGGTTTACTACTGAACTAGGGAGACTGTCAGTCCAGGGTATTCATAGGACAACTCAAAATACTTGCTTGGTACCTTACTTTTCTAGCTTCCCTCCTACATTATCCTTCCAAAACTAGTTTTTTAAGAAAATTCTCCTTATTCAAATAAAAATAATAAGCAAAACAGGTAAAAGCACAAGACTTATTTTTTAAAAAATACTGTCAAAAGCCCTGGCCAGTGTGGCCAGGTTGAGCACTGTCCCATTCACTGAAAGGTGGCCAGTTCAATTCCTGGTCAGGGCACTAAAAAAAAGGGTCAAAATAGGGAAAAAGAATACAATAAAGCATAGATAAAATGGAGAACATGTACAAGAGGATTCTGCCACAGAGTGAATTAAACTTTTAACCAAATATCTTTCCATGAAATATAATAATTTAATGAAAAAAATCTTCTATGAAACAAGAGCTCATTGAGATATAAGGGCTCAAGAAAATGACATATACAAAGGCTCAAGAAAAGAAGACAGTGGAAGATGAAAAAATGGACCACAGAGATCAGGAAACCAATGAGAAGGAAAGCAAAGACCACCAGAGAAACAAAGGTTACAAAAATAGTAGCAGAAAGGAAATTAGACACTAACCCAGTAAGAAATAAGGACAACAAACGGGAAAATAGACAAAACTAAACAAAAAGACCTAAACGTTCAAAAGAATTGGAAAGGAAATTACAGATATGGAAGAGAAAAAGATGCAACATAATGCATAAATTGTATATAGAAGAAAAAGCAGAAAAATGAACCAGGGGGAAAAATTAAAGGTAGTATTCAAAATAACTTTCCCAAAACAAAGGAGGTTGCAAACTATCAACTTAAACATCAAATCCCAGGAAAAATAAACACAGATTAGTCAACATATTTTTCAAATAACTAGATTTCAATAGTTGGAAACTGTATCCAGTAAGAAGAGAAAAATTTAAGTTAATCCATGAATGTGAATAAAAGTAGGCTGCCTTCAGACTTTTACACTGCAACATCTAATCCTAAAAACAATGAGGCAATGCTATAGACCCCTCAGGAAAAGAAAGGAAGGCTCAATAATTTTATGCTGAGTCAAACTGTCCTCCCAGTAGGAAGGGGACATTTGTTCTAACACATGAGATCAAAGAACATGACATAGTTCCCATGAAACCTGCTTTTATCAGCTTCTCATGAGGCCCAATAAAAGAGGGTAAGAATGAGTTTTGAAGTTTTAAGATAATTTAATCCAACCCAGAAGAAATAAGCAGTTTACTTAAAGCCATAAAATGAAGAGCAGTTTTCCTGATATCCTGCTGGCCCTGTCCTCAAAATCTTTAGTTGGTAACAAGAGGCCAGAGCATGAATATAAGGAGGAAAATAATGAATTTAGCTTTCAAACGGAGAGTGAAGGAAATAAGAAATATGTGAGATGAACACATGACTAAACAGATCTGTAATAAATGCGTGAGTTTCTACATATATCTTCTTACCTGAGAACAGCCTCATCAAGCTCTTGTGGCCTGTTAGTTGCACCCATTACAAGCACTCGGTCATCCCCAGCAGACTGCACCTATAAGCCAAGCAAATTTTTTTTCAGTACTTTCAAAGAAAGCAATAACAAAGAAAAACATAATAAAGATATCTGTATTTCTAATTTAGGTCATTTAATAGGAAAATATATACATTAAATGTTACCACATTAAAAATATCATAATCAATACTTACACCATCAAATTCTATTAGAAATTCCGTTTTTAGACGTCTGCTAGCATCGTGTTCTCCTTCTCTTCTTTCACACAATAGGCTATCAACTTCATCTAGAGGAAATACAAGGATAAGACTTGAATTAAAAGCCACGCTATATGAATTATCTGAGCTTAATCTAGTTTACTACTTATTAATACAGTGGGTCCTACTCAATTCATTAGATAGTCTTTAACTTTGTGCCTCTTAAAAACTTCTTCCTTTTGAATAACCTTTCCTATAATACCTCATATATTTGGAGAGGGAAATTTCACAAAGGTTCAACTAGCTTAATTGGTAAACATGTTCTTACCTATAAAAATTATAGAAGGTTGAAGCTCTCGAGCCACAGCAAAAAGAGCTCTCACCAACTTCTCTCCTTCTCCCACCTAAAACAAGGCATTTTGCATTATCACTTCATAAAATACAACATTATTCTAGCTTTTAAATTTTCATGACTGAAAGTCTAGAACCTAGGAATTTAATTTCCTTTCATTGCAATAACCAATGACTTGATTTAAGGAATTGGGAAGAGGGTACTGAAGTTTACTGAAATATCCCTTAAAATTTTATAAAATTGACCGTTTATTATTTAATACAGTCCAGTAAGTACCATAAAAAAATAAAATATATCTGTTTTGCATGACACTGCATTCCTAAGACTCGAGAATGAAATAGCTATTAGTCAATGGTAAAACTAGTGGGAAGAAAAACTACGAGGGGAGAGAAAGAGATGCTGTATGTATTCCTTTGTCCTAGGTTGCAGGGGTTTTTATAGAAGCAGGTAAATTAGAAAGTGCTCTACTGAACAAAACATGCTCTGTTAAGAACACCTTGAAAACTTATTCTCACAATATCACTGTCAATAAATATCAAAATATTTCTAGGTAGTCCAGGAAGTCTAGGAGCACCCCTTGAGACATCATACTAAAACCACTCTAACCTGACCAAGCGTGGCTCAGCGGTTGAGCGTCAACCTAGGATCCAGGCAATCAGGGTTCGATTCCCGGTCAGGGCACATGCCCAGGTTGCGGGCTCGATCCCCAGTCGGAGGCGTGCAGGAGGCAGCTGATCAATGACTTTCTTAGCATTGATGTTTCTATCTCTCTCCCTCTCCTGTTCTCTCTCTGAAATCAATAATGATGTATTTAAAATAAATAAACAAAGCCACTCTATGCACCAAAGCATCTTATGAAAGGGTCATGAGGTTTGGGGTAATCTACTATAAAAACTCTTTATCTTCTAGATGGCACCTATTGTTTTTATTAAAAATTTCATTAAAAAAAGAAAGAAAAAATAACTGGCCCCAGATTTAGAATCATCAAAACAAATATTCTCAGAGTTGGAGGGAACTGCAAAATATCACCTCTATGACATCAACACTTTATAAGTAAAGTAAGGCCTGAAGTGATACTTTCTTAAGACCTGCTCAGTATATAAAAGTTAGGCTGGAATCCCATTCTTCCAACTTCCAAGACAGTGTTTTCCATTATACTATGTGTATAATGTGGATAAACCTACATTAACAACAATTTTACTTATAAAATTTCATATAGGAAACAAAATGTAACCAGGAACAGAGGTACTGTTTTATAGTTACTTTTAATTACTTTACAAAATTGAGAAACCTGCCAATTTCTGATCATGGATTTCTAGCTTCCAAAACTTTTAAGACAATAAATTTATGTTGTTTAAGCCAGCCAGTTTATGGTACTTTGTTATACAGCCCTAGCAAAGTAATTCAGTATTTGACAGCACAATTCTAATTTTAAAAGAACTTAACAAAATGAACATGACTTTCTACTCTGAAGAGTGATATTCCTTGTCTCTGAATGATATAAAACTCACAAATATTTTTGTGTAATGGTATTACCATTTACACTTAACACTAACATTTATTTTATTTATTTATTTATTTTTAAAAATATATCTTTATTGATTACAGAGAGAGGAAAGGAGAGGGAGAGATAGAAACATCAATGATGAGAGAGTCACTGATCAGCTAGCCTGCAACCCGGGCATGTGTCCTGACCGGGAATCGAACCCTGATCGCCTGGATCCTAGGTCGATGCTCAACCGCCAAGCCACGCCCGGCTGGGCAACACTAACATTTAGACAGTAACTTAAAACATTACTATACTGGAAAAAATACTTACATATTTTGAAGTTAAACTTGCAGCACTTATATTAAAGAAGGTTGCATTAGATTCTGCAGCTACTGCTTTAGCCTTTAAAAATCACAAAGGCAAATATTATATTAGTTCAATATCTTGCTTTAAAAAGATAAACACATTTGATCAACTTATGTACAAGGAAAGAATTTCTAAAAATATAAGGCCAGTAAATGGCAATGTGTTTCCTTCTCAGTAATGAGAAAAAGATCTATGAAGAGCTATGCTGCTTTCCACTCATGTTTTTTTCTAAGAGAGAATGGATAGGGAGAGGTTAAAAAAAAAAATGAAAACAGAGTATTATTCTCTTCCTATCTAGTTTTAGAAAGATAACCAGTTAGAGAAAAATAAACAATTAAGGAAAAAAGTTACTCTTTCCTGATTTACTTTTTCCCTCTAGAAGAGCTATCCAGGAAAAAGAGGTATACAGATCCTAGTAAAAACTTGGCAAAAGGATATTAGAAAAAATAATCTGTTGTATGTCAATTATACTTCAAAAAAAAAAAGAAAAAATATCTGTATCATGCTGATTATTTAAATAAAGCTGTTAAGATAATAAAAAAAATCAAGGGTTAGGAAGATAATATAAGGTAAGTTCTTCTAAGGTAAAAATTTTATTTTTTAATTTGGGAAAACAATAAAAATTACACTGTTAAATTTATCCCAAACTTATGACTGAAATTAACATATATGGTTTTCCATCTATTTTGTCATTGAAAACTAGTTTAAAAATTTAAGAAAAGTATATTATATCAAAAAGCAAGTCATAAATAATAGACTCAGGGACAATGGAAAGCTGTTTTTTAAAAAATTATTATCCCTAATATCTTACACCTTGCTGACTGATCACGAGTTTACAGGTGTTTCTATTCTGAATGTTGCTTACTGATCATGAGATAACTTGTGTCTGCACTTACATTAATTTAAGTATTTTAAACACCTTGCTGACCGGTCATGATGGAAAAGTAGCTGGCTGCATGGGCAAGTTCTGGCTCAAAATAGCCACCGGTCAGCAAGGTGTTTAATAGAACATTCGAATTTAAAAGGAATTCTTACCAGCATTGTTTTCCCATTTCCAGGTGGGCCAAAGAGTAATAATCCTCTGGCAGGAGCTCTAAGCCCTGTGAACAACTTAAAAATATACACACAATTATGATTCTGGAGACACTTTTTTCCAGACATTTTAAGAATTATTTGTCATCTAAAAAGCACCATTTTCAGTAGCATCCTCCAAAACGGCTGCCCAGAGCTCTAAAGAGAACACATAACCAATAAACAAGTATAATTACAAAAACCAGAAGAAAAAATAAAATATAACCAAATCCTCACTGATCAAAATGAAAGAAAAAAAGCAGGGAGGGGAATGAAAGCAGAGCTGTTGAAGCAGCCCTATTACTGAACATAGGTATGCTTCTCTACTTCCTTTAGAAATCTCACCAAAATAATAGTGAGTAAAAAAAAGATAAAAATCTTCAAAACAGAAAGAACAGGAAGACAACATAGAACACAATAACTTTTTGTAGATGGAACATTGATAAATTGTGGTGAATTATTTAGCAGAGCTGAGAGAGCTAAAATCTAAGTGCCTGCTTGTGAAGGGACACCTAGATACAAGGAGCAAGCTAAAATGAACTTAAAAACCTGGAATAGCTCAGGAAGTGGAGGCATCAGGTACCAGAGAAAGCACCAGTAAGGCAGGCAGCCCAAAACAGATGAATAGTTTGTATGAAGAACTGAACCTATGATTCTGCGCCCATAACTCCACCACCAAGAGTACTTAGGCAAGTACTCCTCTTTCACAACCAAAGGAGGCAGAAGTTTTATTCTAGAGAAATTAAACCAGAGTCTCCAGACTTAGGGACATCGGGTGTGGCAGGAGACAAGGGTGAAGCACCAGACTGATAACACTTTACTTAATAGTGAAGGTGTATGAACTTTTAAGTTGAACCATTTGAAGTGAGTGACCATTTGAAGTGAGTGATATTCAACTTTTAAAAAATACTCTTTAGTGGTTTTAGGTTTACAGAAAATTGAATGGAAAGTACAGAGAGTTCCCATATAACTCCTCACCTCCCATTTCCCCCAGTATGAACATACTGCATTAGTGTGGTACATTTATTTTAACTGATGGACGAACACTGTTAAATCATTATTAACTAAAAGTCTATAATTTACGTTAGGGTTCACTGTCTCATGTAATCCACTATTACAGTATCATGCAGAATCATTTCACTGCCCTAAAAAAAATCTACCGTTACATGAATTAATTGTTCTAGCATAGCTTTAACATTTCTTTACTACTACTACAGATTTAGTAATAGATGATGTTATAGAAAAATGATAATATACAATCCTACCTCAGGTCTCAGAGAAGGAAGAATGACAATTTCTTGCAATGCTTGTTTTGCCAACTCTTGACCAGCTATATCATCAAATTTAACAGCTGTTCCACTAGGAAACAGAATTTCAGTTATCTCCACAACAGAAATATGTTTTAATTGTTATAAAATTAAGTCTAAGCTTATGAAACGTGGTCACTTTTATGTTAACTGTGAAACTATAGTTAAATCAGTAAATGATTTTCTATCTGTATAGTAATTAAAAACCATAATAAAAATTAAATAAGTATATTAGACAAGGTATTATCTATTTCACTCATGATACATTTTATAAATAAAATTCAAAAATAAAAACTGTAGCCCAGCTGGTGTGGCTTAGCAGTTGAGCATGGACCTATGAGCCAGGAGATAGCGGTTCGATTCCTGGTCAGGCCACATGCCCAGGATTGGGGCTTGATCCCCAGCATGGGGTGTGCAGGAGGAAGCAGATCAATGACTCTTTCATTGACTTTTCTCTCCCCCTCTCCATTCCTCTCTCTGAAATCAATAAAAATATATTAAATAAATAAAAACTGTAAAATAAAACACTTTAGATGGCAAAACTTACTTGTCCACAATTTCATTCATTATAAGGTTAGCAAGGTTGCTGTCCACGTTCCTAAAATTCTTCAAGTCTTTCTTTTTACGAGCAGCAGTTGTAGGGGTAGAAGGTTTATTCGTTCGATTTGTTTTTGGTGTACTCTTAAATGACACAAAAATTTAATGTGAAAATACAACCTTACATTTACACTTTTCACAAGTGAATGAACTTTAAAGTTCATAGAATTAAAGGTTTAAAAATAGGGAAAAATATAAAAATAAAAAAAAATGTATATTTACTCTAAGGTAAAATGATATTCACTATAGAGCTACATTTGGCACGAAGTGGGTTCATAGAGGGTTTTATCCATAGAGATTTAGTTACTATAAGATAAAAATGCTCTATGACAATGCAGTCATATAATTTTGATCCCTGTTAGAATTGTAACAAAACTCTAAGTACGTCTAATGTTACAAAACATTTACACAGATAAAAGAATAACAAATTTAAAATGAACCACATAGCTTTATATAATACTGGATAAGCAAACACTATAAAATAAAAACTAATTAGGTCCAAAAGGAGGTGAAATAAGATATGCTTTTTAATAGCAAGTTCCCCTTATAGATTTAAAAAAAAAGAAAAATTATATTCAATTTTATGGAAACTTATCAGTTCTTTAAGGTATTATAAAATACTTGTAATAAACTAAAGCAAACATATCATGTTCAAATTTTTCTATTTGCAAAATCATAGTATTTAAATTGTCTCCAAATACCTTATGAGTGGCAGTTGCAGGACCAGGTCCCTGTCTCACTCCAGAAACCATGGATAAACCACTGCAACTCGGTGCTCTGTGATGGCCTGAAAGACCTGTGGATCCAGTTTTCATAACTGTCTTTGAACGAGGCAGTGAATTACTAGTGTGTGTTAAGGGATCTTTTCTTTTTGGAACTGCTCCACTTTCTATTAAGAAAATAATAAAATCATTGTAGTTAGAAAATTGTGGTTAAACATCATAAAATAACAAAGACCAGTACAAATTTGCAAAACTAAGCTAAATTTTTTTAACTTCAGCAATATTTGAAAATAAGAATTCAATCAGAATACATACTAGGGTGCTCATAGAGGCTGTAACTGGGTGGATGAGATTATGGTTATTTAGTTTTTTTCCCTTTCTTGATGTATATTTTAATTTTCTTATAAAGAATATGTATTTGCCTGGCTGGGTGTGACTCCTGGTTTGATTCCTGGTCAGGGCACATACCCAGATAGTGGGTTTGATCCCCAGTTGGGATCTGTATGGGAGACAACTGATCAATGTTTCTCTCTCACATCAATTTTTCTCTCTCACATTTATATGTCTCTCCCCCTTCCTCTCTCTAAAACAAAAAATAACATATTTTAAAAAATGTATTTGTAGCCCAGCTGGGTGTCGCTCAGCAGCTGAGTGTCGACCTAGGATCCAGGAGATCTTGGTTCGATTCCTGGTCAGGGCACATGCCCGGGTTGTGGGCTCGATCCCCAGTCGGGGGCGTGCAGGAGGCAGCCGATCAATGACTCTCTCACCATTGATGTTTCTCTCTCTCTCTCGCTCTCTCTCTGAAATCAATAGAGATATATTAAAAAAAAAAAAAAGTATTTGTAATAAGAACTTTATTTGTGGGGCAGGAGGAGGATATGAAAAAGTTACCAAGCAAATAAAGTTACCAAATAGTTAAAGAAAATATAGTCTGGGCATTAGGGATACGCTGTACAGAGGGAGAAAAGAGCACTGCATTACCTTGGGTCCAAACTTTTAAGACGACAAAATAGTAAGAAGGTCCACAATCTGTGCCCACCAAAAGAGTTCTTAAAAATAATCAATTTTTAATGGAAAGAGTATAAAGATGTGGTTTTTAGTAAGCCAACTATTTTATGTTCTATATTGTATATATGTAAATAAATATGTACAGAACACCTTCAATGAAGTCTTAAAAGATTACCTGACTTACCTACAGTTCTCTTCTAAATTAAAAAGAGGCTTTTAAATGTTCAAATCTCACTGCTTCCAAATAATATTTTTATATACAATGTTTACTCTGCAGACAAATGTTAAATCAGCAAATTCAGTAGCCTAGAGAAAAGACAAAAGCCTTATTTTTGCTTTTGTCATCAAATCCCTTAATATGGTTTAAGGAAACGCAAAAGAAGAAAGTTCAGAGTAGACTAAAGTGATCAAGAAGTTTGATTACGTTTATTTGCAGATGAGTGTAAAGTTCTGAACCACATATTCAAGGAACTAATGGATAGTGATTCTAAGGGTAGGAGCAGGAAGGCAACTGAGAAAAGGGAATGACAATAAGCAAAAGCAAAGATGTGAATAAAAGCAAGATCTGTCTAGGGTGAAGATAATCTTCATTTCCGAGGAACAAAAAGGAGACAGAATTTCTCCAGACAAAAATATATAGTCCTGAGACTACAAATGGATAGAAATTTCCACATGGAACTATGATAATGACAGCAGACTGGCTTTTCATAAATAAAGGTCAGTAGGCAGTATGTTCAAAATGCTGAAGAAAAAGAAGTGTTAACCTACATCAATTCTATATGGGTGACCTATCACATAAGAATGAGGGTATTTTCAGACATTAGAAAGACTGAGAGAGCTCAGTTGGTCAGAGCATCATCCCCATACGCCAGGGTTGTGAGTTTGATAGCTGGTCAGGGCACATACAAGAATCAACCAATGAATGCATAAATAAGTGAGACAACAAATCAATGTTTCTCTCTCTCCCTTTCCCTTCCTCTAAAAATCAAAATCAAAATCAAATTAAAAAAAAGACACAGTTTACTGTCTACAAAGCCACATTAAATGAACTACTAAAGGAGGTTTGGGGGTTTTTGTTGTTGTTGTTAAAAAGCAAATAATCAGAGAACTGAGTTATATGGGAAAACAGTCAGAGGCCAGAAGAGGGCCTAGTGGAGGAGAGACAGTGGCCATGGCTGAATACTTTAAAGAAGCACGTAAATGTCCTGTCTGACTTATTTTGAAAACCCTGTGAACCTGAAATGCGGGTATGTCTGCTGCCCATGTACTGTGCTCCTTCTGTTCCGTGGTTTCTCAGGACATCAGATCCAAAAACCAGCTGGGCAGATTGGTTTCAAAAGTCAAGGAGTTAGAGCTTCAGCTAAGAACTATTCTGCAGATGAACCCATGGATGCAGAAGTTCCACGTGGATATGACTTTGCATGTTGACACAGCCAACAAACTACATCATTTCTGAGGACTTGAGGAATGTTCCCTCTGGGTGCTTCAAAGAGAACTGGAGGGCTTGTGCTGAGAGATTCAACTATGCAATTTTTGTCCTGTGCTCTCCTCGGTTCACCTCTGGTCACCGTTACTGGGAGGACAAGCAAAGAATGGGACGTGGGTGTTTGCAAAGAATCTGTTCATTGACAAGGGGTAATTCTACTGTCTTCATAATCTGGCTTCTGGATCCTGGGTTCAAGGAACAGAGGTGTCTTCTCAGCACTGTGCCTTTGACTGTTCTCATCGTTAGCCCTGCTTATATTGAGTGGGGATTTTCTTGGATATGAATACGGGGACCATTTTTTATCACATTGGTGATGGATCCCATGTTTTTCCATCCCCTAAAATTTCTGCTATGGAGACACTGTGTCCATTTTTTGCTCCTGCAAATCCGATTAAGGATAATCAAGGCTTCCTGAGAATCTGTCCTGTGATGAATCCAGGGACTGCGGTCTTCCAGCGATTCCTGGGCAAGGCAAATGAACCTCTGACTACAGAAATATTTACACGTATGGCACAAAAGTGTAGCAGAAAAATATGAATCATATTTTGTGTTCATGAATCATAAACACAAATTAATTATATTAGAAGTTTCTTTTCCAATATTAAGTATTATGGTCGTTTCCTCTGGGACTTATCTGGATGTGGGGAAAAAGTAAATAAACATAGAAAGGAGCAAAAAACTATAATACAAAATTAGAGAACAAGGAAAATCACAAAACTGTGGGTAGGGAAAAAAGGAAATATAATTAGAATATACTATTTGGTTTTGGGAAAACTATTTACTGTCTTAATAATGTTAAATATGATTTTTAAACAACTAAAAATAGCAACATATGTATATATCTGTATCTAAATCTATCTTATATCTATGGTGGCAAAAGGTGGCATAAGAGAATTAAACCTCCTTCCACCTGAATAAGAAGTCGATACACACCAAAACCTGAGAGATTAGGAAAGGCATTTAGGAAATACAATTTGATGAGTTTATAGGATGCCTATAACAGTGAAAGAGCCACTAAAATCAGGTTACAAAATGTTTCCACCAGAGCGAAAAGTCTTCTTGTATCCATTTGCACTCCATCCCTTGCTGTCCCTGGCCCTAGGCAATCTGCTTTCTGACAGAATAGAAATCATCTGATTGAGTCATTTCTATTGACCGAGGTTCACCTGACTGAAACCTTCACTTGACATCTCCAATTTGCTGTTGAGGCAATCTAGCAAATTTTTATTTCAGCAGTTGTACTTTTCAACTTTAGAATTTCCATTATTTTTATTGTGTAGTTTATATTATCTACCGAGATTGCAGGTTTTTAACTGATGGTGTATTTTCTTTTACATCTTTGAATATATTTATAATTACTGTTTTGACATCTTGGTCTGCTAAATTCAACATGTGGGCCCAGTCAATAGTTCTAAAGGTCCCACTTTCCTGTTTCTTTGTATGTCTAGTAATTTTGGGTAGAAAATTGGGCATTGTAGATAACACATTGAAGTAATAGACTTTTCCTAAGAGAGATAAGTAGCTCATTCAAGTGAAACATCACAGAATGTTCCAGAAGTGGGTGCATTCACTAGTAATAAACACCAGTGCTGCATAGATTAGCTGCAAGTCAGTATTTTCGCCCAACCAGAAAACAGAATTAAAGAACAGATAACTTACTAGGGTTTTGATATATGATAGTTTTGTTATTTTAATGGGTTCCCAAAAGAGAAAGTTACTTTTTAAAAGTTTGTGCTTGGCAGAAAAATACAATGGGATCGCGCAAGTGGAAAGAAGTATAAGAGAATCAAGATAACAATGGGAAGGCATACAAGCTCTTCAAGGCTAGAAAATTTTTGCTGTTTATCCTGCATTATTAGGATCTCAAATTTATATTTTGGAAGCTTAACTATTTAATATGTGGTGCATTCTTAGATTTCTTTTTTTTCAAAAAGTTCCTTATGAAAATACCAGTGTTTCACTGCAGCACTAAGAGAAACAGGCAAAATATTTGTCTCTATACTTGAAATGGTATTTTAAATCAGGTACAGGGAGAAATGAGAAAAGGAATATAGCTACTGATGTGGAGCTCTGTACTGGAAAACCAAACCTAAGTAAGAAATCTAAGGGATAGCTGAAGCCACAGGGAAGGATTTCATTAATGACCAACTGTCTCTTTCATCCACAGAAATCCGCTTACACTAACTTCTCTCTTTTGAAATCTTAAAAGTTTTGTATTACATATGAATACAGAAGGCAGTGGTCTTATAGTCTGAACTAAGGGATTTTTTTGTTTGTTTTGCTACAATTTAAACAAAGCAATATTTACTTCAATAAAATTTAAGCCCTGGACATAAAACTAATGCTGAAGAAGTCACCAATAAAACTGGCCAAGATGTCAGAGAACCTAGGAAATTAAGATTCTTCCCACCCAAACAAAATAAAAAAAGGATTTAATGTTCTGTAAAAAGTTCATACCCAAAAGTTCACGGAAAACAAATTTAACCTATAATAAATAATAGTACTCTAATGTTTTCTCCTCACTTTGTGAATTTAGCTTCAAATTTTTTCTAACAGGTATTACATTCATGTATAGTATACATGAAAATTGATACATGATGAAAGCTGATATATACCCAAAAAAGAGAAAATTTCTCTTAAAAAATACCGTTTCATAAAAACCTCGTTTAGCTATCCATGAAAACCCCCCCACAAAAGCTGAAAATACAATAGAAACATAAGACTATTTTAAACTTAGAAAAGTGAACCTTCAAATTTATAATTTCAAAAATCATAGGCTGTAAAATATGCAAATAAAGTATGTTGAGAATGGCTATACCTTTTTACATGGTCTTATACTATGAATGATAGGAATACTGTATTTTCAACATAGCTCTGTGCAAACAAAAACCAATCGAAACTATCATTATAAAACCAAGTCAACATTATCAGGTTAAGTGGGACTTTACTTTGCATGCAAGCTTTATTATTTCACACGTTAATTAACCTAAACCCACCTGACTGGAGATGTCCGTTGCGGCATGTCAAGTTAGTACTGTCATTATAGACGTCTGTTTGTGACTTGGAAAATTGCAAAACTGGTTGCAGCTTCTCTATGCAACAGAGGAGGGGTATGAAAGAACAAAATAAACAAAAAGAAAAAATATATAATGAAAAAAGGTACACGTGAAAATGAAAAATGATTTAAGGTGTTACAAGGTTGTTACATGATGAAGCGTTTTACAGTTATATAACATCAATAACATCTCCTAAAAATATAATTAGTAAAAACTCAGACATTAAAATAGCAACAGAAGTTAACAAATGAATGGCTATGTTAAAAATATGCCTTATTCAGGTTTGGTAACCTAAGGCAGTTCCATATCACTGTTATCACCAGCAAATATTTTCTGAGTATCTAGTATGTCCAAGTCATTGTGTAGAAAGAGAAGCATAGAGATAAATAAATGAATGTTGTCTGTACCATCATATGCTTATTAAATTGGCAACTTACAACACAAATATTTTTTTTTTAAAAGATTATATAGCACAAAAGAAATAGAACATTAAAAAGGCTTTACAGAAAAAGTGGGTTGTGAGTTGGCTAGGATTTGAAAAGATGAAAAGAGAGAACACTTCAGGAAAGAAGAATAGCACTTAAAATGACACAGAAGGAAACTATAAGGAGTGTCTAAAAAATGCCATATCAGGTACTTTAACATATGGCAAGCAAAAGATAAAGGCAATAAAGCAGAATGGAAGAAGCATGCTTCAAAACTGTGTGTACAGTACCCTACCATTTATTTGTGCACACTTGTATACAGTCGTCCCCCTTTATCTGCAGGGGATACGTTCCAAGACCCCCAGTGGATCCCCGAAACTATGGATAGTACCTAATCCTATATATACTATGGCTTTTCCTATACATACAAACCTATAATAAAGTTTAATTTATAAATTAAGCACAATAATAGATTAGCAACAATAACAAAATAGAACAATTAAAATATACTGTAATAAAAGTAATGTGAATGTGGTCTCTCTCTCTCTAATGACTGATCTGATAACTGTGATGGCTAAGTGACCAACAAGCAGGTAGCATATATAGTGTGGATACGCTAGACAAAGAGATGATTTACATCCTGGGTGGGGTAGAGTGAGAAGATGTGAAATTTCATCATGCTACTGAGAACAGCATGCAATTTAATTATACAATGTTTATTTCTGGAATTTTCCATTTAATATTTTTGGACAGCAATTGACTGCAGATAACTGAAAACCATGAGTAAGAGGACTAGTACTGTACACAAAGATTATCTTTAAAAAGGATCCAAAGAAACTGGTGACAGCAGCTGCCTCTGGTGATGGGAAAGGAGTAGCCAGGGCATAGTATGGGATGATTGCTTTTCATACATAAAACTTTAAAAATTTTGTGGGATGTGCCTATATCATCTATTTTTAAAATTAACCAAAAATTTTAAAGGATTATTTCACCCCTATCCCTACTTCAGATAACAACACATTTTCTCATTATCTAGGTCTCTAAGTCTACTTAGCACCTAAAGCCCAAGAAGGCAGCGGTCTGAAATTCCTTGCCACTCTACATCACTGCTGTGCTCTTTTCCCCCATTCAAGTCAATCCATACTGCTAGCTGACAAACACCCTGCTCCACCACTTACTCACTAGCATGAACTTGCTTTAGTTTAGCTTCAGTTTGCAGATGGTCTCAAGGATTAAAGAAAATAATATACATAACGTACCTACTCTATGCCTCATTCACAATAGAAGCTCAATTTTTACATTAATATTGTTGAAACATTCCAAGTTGTCATAACTGATTATTTTCTTTAATACTAGAAAGTCAATGAATACATGCAAAAATAAAGCACATATATACTAAGTCTCCTAAACTTCCATTTCTAAGGTCAGACAAGCAGGCGCCATGCTTGGTTTATGGTACACCACACACGCCTTTGGGACAGGTTAAATAGCAGCTACCCTTTTTGCACAAAGCACAAAGTACTGCACAGCTTTTGTATCCTAGAACCGGCTGATACAATATACCTTGGAGCTGGGATTTTTTTGTTGTCGTTGTTAGTTAACAGGTAGGTCATCTGATTTTTCTCAATGATAATACTATTCAAATCACCATACTGAGAAAGAAACCATTTGTGTTGGCAAAAGATATGTATTAGAAAAAAAAAACTGACATGTCTTCTTTATCAATTAACACTCTCTTCAACGAAATGTAACAAAAATTCACATAAACATTCATTATTCAGAAAAAATAAATTAAATCCTTAGTTTTGATAATAACTAGGAATAAAAGCCATAGAACTTGTTTTTTTTAATGTATAGGGCTTAGTTTCATATGCAGGGAAACACACACATCCACAGTAGCAGTACACTATTAATGTGAACCTGCTCCTATTTATTTTTGTTCAAGAGTACAAAGTTAGTTTCATGCTTCTTTTTAGAATGACTAAACATTATGTAATTAATAATTTAAAATAAAAGTCACCTTGCTTCTTGATCCTCTAACATGCAACCCCCATATAACCATCTACTTAAAAGGAAAATCTTGTGCTGGCTGGTGTGGCTCAGTTGACTGAGCACAGTCCTAGGCACCAAGAGGTCACAGGTTTGATTCCTGATCAGGGCACATGCCCAGGTTTCAGGCTTGATCCCCAGTAGGGAATGTGCAAGAGGCAGCCAACCGATGTTTCTCTCTCCCTTCCTCTCTCTCCCTCTGTCTCTAAAAATCAATAAAGACATATTTTTTAAAAAAGAGAGAGAAGAAAGCGCTCTAAGGCTTCTCTTTGGCATATCCAAATTGCCAGCATCATTACACTTGCACTTTGGGGCCATTATTAAGTAAAATACTTGGTGCATGGGACCACACTCAACCAACTGAGCCACACCAGCCACGCTTAAACCGCTTCCTTTAAGTGAAAAGTGAGTACAGTTCAATACAATATTTTGAGAGACCACATTCACATGTGGTCACCACAAACTTTATCGTAAGTCTGTATGCATAGGAAAAAAACAGTATATATAGTATACATAGCATTCGGTACTATCTGCAGTTTCAGGAATCCACTGGGGATCTTGGAACATATTCCCTGTGGATAAAGAGGGACTACTATATATAACATATATGAACTCTTCCCAACTTTATCAGAAAGACCTCATCCTCTCAAATCAGCCTGTCTGGGGAACTCCCAGTATCATTCTCCTTCTAATTAGATACCTATTTGGCATCCCACTTCTGAAAAGCTCCATTTCTTAACCAGCACATAATACACAAATTTGCTCTACTGTGCACTTGTGCATAACTCTTTTTTACTGCTGTTAATATATATAATCCCAGACTATCTGAGTTCTGAGAAGACAGGAATATGTTGATGCATTCTATCCCACCCGCTACTTTTGAAAGTAACATCTTTCAGCCCTGGCCAGGTATCTCAGTTGGTTAGTGTCATCCCCATAAGGCCAAGGTTGCAGGTTCAATCTCCAGTCAGGGCACATATAAGAGGGCAACCAGTGAGTGCATTAATAAGTGGAACAACAAATAGATGTTTCTCTCTCTTTCTAAAATCAATAAATTAACAAAAAAAGTAATATATTTTACTAATGGGTACACAGCACTTTTGAGGATGACAAGAGACAACAACAACATCCAAAATACTAATTCTTGGCCCTGGCCAGGTAGCTCAGTTGGTTAGAGCTTGGCCCTGATTCACTCACTAAGGGTGCAGGTTTGATCTCCAAACAGGGCACATACAAGAAGCAAGCAATTGAATGCATAAATAAGTGGAACATCAAAGCTTTCTCTCTTTCTCTCTTCCCCTCTCTAAAATTCAATAAATAAAAATGTTTTTAAAAATTAATTCTTTTAATGCCTAACTTTTACATCAATCAAGGCTCTATATCCAACTATCAACTTACAGGGCGGACAGTAGAACATATTAAAAGATACCATGAAGATCCACACAGCAAGTCATACTGTAGGAAACACCATGTGGCAAAGATCTGGTTCATTAACAAATAAACTCCAAGAAAAATAGACGGACTTTTATATTAAAATAGATACACTGTATGGGTTTGTTTTTTTTTATACTGTGTTGTGTGGCCTGAGGAGAGGGCTGGAGGGACAGCCACCAATGTCCCTATTCTGAGTCCCTCTCCCACACCGCCACAGACACCATGAATGGATCTTCTTGAGATCCTGACTTAAACAATTATAAAAAAGTAGTAAGGCCCAGCCAGGTGTGGCTCAGCGACTGGGCATCGACCTAGGATCCTGGAGATCATGGTTCAATTCCCGGTGAGGGCACATGCCCGGGTTGTGGGCTTGATCCCCAGTTGGGGGAGTGCAGGAGGCAGCCGATCAATGACAACTCTCTTATCACTGATGTTTCTCTCTCCCTCCCCCTTCCTCTCTCTGAAATCAATAAAGATATATTTAAAAAAAAAAAAAAGTAGTAAGGTTATTCAATTACGAGATACTGACTGGATATTATGTTATATATTATACTTGAATTATATTTAAACACTGGCCATTTTTGGTCCATTTTTTTTAATATTAAAGGAAATGACTAGCTACTTTTAGGTGTGACAGTGGTATTTCAGCGATTTTATTTTTAAAGCACCTTTATCTTTTAGAGATACAATATATAATGCCTATATATGAAAAGATGTGAGAATTTGTTTCAAAATAATATAAAGTTGGAGAAAGTGTGTAGGAATATAAACAGGGGCTGACAAACTTTTTCTTTAAAGAACCAGGTGTAAACATTTAAATATTTTTTAAAACTACATCTTAAAAGCCTTTGAGAGTCATATGATCTCTATATCAACTATTCAACTCTGTCACTGTAGCATGAAAGCAGCCATACAATATATAAAGAAACAAGAGTAGCTGTGTGCCAGTTTATAAAAATGGGCAGTGAACTGGGGTTAGCGCATGGGCTGTGGTTTGCAAGCCCCTTGGTATAGATAAATCAAGACAGACTATGGATTGGTAATTATTAAAGCTAAGTGATGGATAATTATCAATATACTCTTCTATTTTGTATGTTAGAAATTTTCTGCAAGAAAAAAGCCTAGATCATATTTTCAAGATCATTGATCTATTTCCATCTACATTACAAGTTTCATTGAGCACACATTTCAGATACATCTCATTCCAATTATATAATTCATTGATACCTAGAAGTTGTAAACGGTCCTTGGCCATAACCAAATTAGTCATCATTTTAGCTTGAAGGCGTCTAGCTCTTTCACACTGTTCACCTGAAAAAGAACAGAAAAAGAAAAAAGAATTAAAATATCTATATTTCCCTATTAATAGTGCTTCAAGATAAAATATTACCCCAACTAATCTCATGGGAAGTCTAGTCTTTATCAAAAAATTAAGAAAATATTATTTTCAAGTAATTTCTTTAAAAAAAATAAGCTACCCGGCCGAGCGTGGCTCAGCGGTTGAGCGTCGACCTAGGATCTAGGAAATCGGGGTTCGATTCTCGGTCAGGGCACATGCCCAGGTTGCGGGCTCGATCCCCAGTCGAGGGCGTGCAGGAGGCAGCCGATCAATGACTCTCTCATCATTGATGTTTCTCTCTCTCTCTCCCTCTCCTTTCCTCTCTCTGAAATCAATAAAGATATATCTAAAAAATAAAAAATAAAATAAATAAAATAAAAATAAAAAAGCTACAGTTCCTTATGCTGGTTTCAGACCTACTGAGGGCAGTATTCCATGGATTTTCAGACATCCTTTTCCCATTTTAAAAATCTTTGAAATTGGGATGTGTTTTACAACCTGTGCCAACTTATGACTGCTATCAGCCAGGCTGCAGTCATAACATAGTTTGTCACTGCCTGTGCATGTACCACTTTGGTAATAGATATTAACACTGCTGTCATAGCTATGTCTAAATAAGATAGGACAGCAAATTCAATAAGGTTTAAAATTCAAATTCTAAGTGATAAGAAGAGAATGTGTCAGTTTAACTGACATTGTTTTTTCTTTGTGGTAGAATTGAAAGCATTTTTGATTCAGAGAAATACTATTCTTATAACCAACTCATTTTCTTCAAACTCTTCTATGTAATTGATAAACAGCAAATATATTTTGTACATAATTCACTGTCATGCTCATAAACTCATAAGGTCTCCAAAGCCCAACCATCTATATTTACTTGTTCTATTCTGCTATCTTTTACGCAGGATACCAGTAGCTAGTGAACCAGTCAAAATAAAAGGGGACAGAAAAAAACATGGCAAATATTGGATGCATTGTACTTATTGGAGATTAGCTGATATAAGTATCAGCCAGCCAGACAACAAACATCCACTGGGTGGATTGATCCATAAGACTGATTCTTAGCCTACATATTATTATTTTTGCTTCTAATTCTATTTTAGCTATGATAAACTGAAGTATTTCACCTATTTAATAGTGGTACCCATGTATTACACAATAGTCACAGTACAGTAGTACTTAAGAATTCAGGCTCTGAAGTCAGACTGCCTAGGTTCAAATCCTGACCCCACTATTTGCTAGTTATGAGGCCTTAGGCAAATTACTTAACTTCTTTGTACTTAAAATTATGCATCTGAAAAATAATGGTAACAGCAGCAGCATGAGTGTGTAGGGTTGTAGTGAAAATTAAGACATAATATAGCTCAGCTGGTGTGGCTCAGTGATTGAGCATCTAGCCTTGAGCCAAGAGGTCCCTGGTTCCATTACCCATCAGGGCACATGCCTGGGTTGTGGGCTCCATCCCCAGTAGGGGGCGTGCAGAAGGCAGCCAATCTATGTTTCTCTCATCAATGTTTCTCTCTATACATATCTCGCCCTTCCTCTCTCTCTAAATTCAATTAAAAGCCCTAGCCAGTTTGGCTCAGTTTAGAGCATCAGCCCATGGACTGAAGGATCCCAGGTTCTATTCCAGCCAAGGGCATGTACCTCGGTTGCAGGCTCAATCCCCAGCCCTGGTGCACTCTCGAGCTGGAGGCAACCATGTGACTATCTCACATCGATGTTTCTCTCTTTCTCTCCCTCTCTCTCCCCCCCTCTCTCCCTCTCCTCCTCCCTCTCCCCCACTTCCACTCTCTCTGAAAAGCAATGGAAAAAATATCCTCAGTGAGGATTAAAACAGAATAAAATAAAATCAATGAGAAAAAAAAACTTTTTTAAAGAGATAATACATATGAAGCATATACAATGATGCTTAGGCACACAGTAAATGTACAATAAGTGTTATCTATATATTTCAAGATAATAGTAGACTCTTAATTTTTTATTTGAGGTGATAAGAAAGTAAAGATAATAAATAACTGCTTTGGTTTTAAAAAGCCAAGTATGAATCAAAGTAAGACATTTACAGCTCATATTCTAACAGGCAATCAAACAATACTCACAAGTGCAAAGGGGGGGTCTATGGATTAACCACTCCTCCCTGCCTCAACAATGAGGAAAGGACAGGTTTCAAAAATATGGCTGAACATAGGGTAAAACATCCAAGAAAGACCCAAGTAATATACTGGTTTTGCCTGACTGCTACAGGCAATCAATCAAGTTTGAGCATTTCTGGTTATACCTTCATTTTTGGCATAAGTAGTAACACATTAACTGTAAAGTATACATTAATAATTACATTTTAAAAACTTTTAAATACTTTTGTTAAGACAAATGGATCTAAAATCAGGGCAATCATGTGAATATAATTTGGCTCCTAAACAAATGTAAATATAACCTTACCTTGTCCTGTAACTACAACAGCTATTCCTTTTTCTAGTTCTTCAATACCTTTCTTATACCATTCCACAGCTTGCTCCTTTTGTCCTGCTTTAAAGATAAATAATTATTTGTATATATTACAAGTATAAAGAATACACTAAACATCTCCCAAAGCCTGCTGTTATTAGGTGATACATGAAAAAGAGAGTTGTGATCAAATAAATTTGAGAACTATTACTACATGATTTCTTAGTATCATTAGCATCTTAACATATATGTGAATCTCCAAGAAGGGGACACAGACTTCAATGTTTCTCAAAATTTTAAGGCTGTGTGTTCTTTATTTATCATTTCATGGTATTGATGCTTATAACCACTGAAATGAAGTATAGAAGAATTTCATTTAGGGAGAACTTATTTTAAATAAAAGGTTTTTAAATATAAACATGATTTCAATACTATTGAGGAAGGGAAAAAAGCACTGTTTAATCTAATTGTATTACAATCTGATGTAATATAGTCATTGTTGGGTGCCTCCTTTCTAGAATTAGTTTTTATTTAGCAAATGATTTTGCATCATGAGAGCTGGTATATGAGATTACAGATGTGGCATTTAGTAACACACTTCTATTTTCTTTGAAACAAATGACTGGTTTACAACATTAATTCTTAATTCCAAGCAGAGCTTAAAAAGGATCTAAAAATTCAGCACAATCAAAATGTGTGTAGGATATTTCTGTAAACTGGTAACAATTACATGCAAATCTCACTGGGCTTTTTTTTTTGCATTTCTTTTTAAATTGTATTAATTGGGGTTACATTGGTTATTTAAATAGGTTTCAAGTGTACACTTCTATAATACTTCATCTGTACACTGTATTGTGTGTTCACCGCCCATAGCCTTGTCTCCTTCCATCACCACTTATTCCCCCTTTACCCTCTTCTACCTCTTCCACCTCTTCCACCCCCCTTCAATCTGGTAATCGCCATATTGATATCAGTCTGTGAGGGTTTTTGGTTTTTGTTCGCTTAATCTCTTCACCTATTTCACCCAGTTCTCCAGCTCCCAACCCCGACAGCTGTCAGTCTGTTCTCTGTATCTATGAGTCTATTTCTAATTTGTTTATTTTGTTCCTTAGAGTCCACATATAAGTGAAATCATATGGTATTTGTCTTTCTCTGACTGGCTTATTTCACATTCACTTAGCATAATACCATCCAGGTCCATCCATGCTATTGCAAAAGGTAAGATTTCCTTGCTTTTTTAGGGCTAAGTAGTATTCCATTGTGTAAATATGCTGCAGCTTTTTTACCCACTCATCTACTCATGGACACTTGGGCTGTTTCCAAGTGACACTTGGCTATTGTAAACAGTGCTGCAATGAGCACAGGGGTGAGTATATTCTTTCAAATCAGTGTTTTGGGTTTCTTCGGATATATTCCCAGAAGTGGAATCTCTGGGTCTTAAGGCAGTTCTATTTTTAATTTTTTGAGAAAACTCCATGCTGCTTTCCACAGTGGGTGCACCAATCTGCATTCCCACCAACAGTGAACAAGGATTCCTTTATTTTCACATCCTTGCCAACACTTATTGTTTGTTGATTTATTGATGATAACCATTCTGACAGGTGTGATATCTTGTTGTGGTTTTAATTTGTGTTTCTCTGATGATTAGGGACACTGAGCATCTTTTCATATGTCAACTGGCCATCTGTATGGCCTCTTTGGAGAAGTGTCTATTCAAATCCTTTGCACGTTTAACTGGCGTGTTTTTTTGGTGACAAGTTTTTATGAATTTTGGATATTAATCCCTTATCAGATGTATCATTGGCAAATACGTTCTCCCATTGAATGAATTGTCTTTTCATTTTGTTTTTTGTTTGTTTTTTCATGGGCGCCAGGACAAGCGATCACTAGGCTGCCCAGATACCAAAAAATTATGCTTCTAAAATTTCTTGTTGTCGATTCCACATGTAGAGCAATCAAGCTGTCTTACGTGTGTCAGTCACAACAGAAGCGCTTTTTGTTATCCTTCCATTTTGTTGGTTTCTTTTGCTGTGCAAAACCTTTGTAGTTTGATGTACTCCCATTTGTTTATTTTTTCTTTTGTTTCCCTTTCCTGGGGAGATATATCAGAAAAAATAGTGCTACAAGAAATGTCTGAGATTTTATTGCCTATGTTTCCTTCTAGGATTTTTATGGTTTTGGGTCTTACATTTAAGTCTTTAATCCATTTTGAGTTTATTCTTGTGTATGGTGTAAGGGTCTAGTTTCATTTCTTTGGATATATCTGTCCAGTTTTCCCAAGACCATTTACTGAATAGACCGTCTTTACGCCATTGTATGTTTTTGCCTCCTTTGTCAAACACTGACCATAAAGGCGTGGGTTTACTTCTGGACTCTCTATTCTGTTCTGTTGATATATATGTCTGTTTTTATGCCAGCACCATGCTGTTTCAACTACTATGGCCTTGCAGTATAGTTTGATATCAGGTGGTGTGATACCTCCAACTTCGTTTTTCTTTCTCAAGGTTGCTGAGGCTATTTGGGGTCTTTTGTGGTTCCACATATGTTTTTGGAATATTTGTTCTAATTCTGTGAAATATGCCATTAGTATTTTGATAGGAATTGCACTAAATCTATACATTGCTTTGGGTGGGATGGACAATTTT